ATTGCAAGCTAAAAATCTCACATATGCCATAGAAAAAATCATTTTAAATTTGCGCCAAGTTTCATTAAAATTTGAGCTCAAAAAAGTCCAGAAAAAACATCCTGAAAAATGCGATTTTTTTGGCCAAAAAATATTTTTTATGGCCAAAAAACCTTTGATCCACTTCAAAATACCACCCGCTTTTTATCCCTCTTGAGTTTATCCCCCATTATCTGCTTACAATTATGTTATACACACTTTTGCCCACTTCAAAGGTCACTACAACCGCTTTTGCGCTAATTGCTTCCCAAAAATTGTTCCAATTTTCGCGAAAAATGTAGAGAAAAAAGTCATTGCACAGTGCAAAAAAAGCGACAAATGCACGGGGGGGGGAGGATTTATATGGGGAAGTGTAAAATATGTAATATTTAAAGTGCGACGCTCAGATTTTGATGAAACTTGCCATAAATTTAGTTATTTTTTTCCTCCAATAAGACATATGCGAGACTCGTAGACCGCGACACAATGTGGATTTTGCTGCGAAAAATCCACATTATTTTCCCGACAGACTGATCTATCTAATTGCCCAAAAGCGACACGCAGATTTTGATGAAACTTGCCATAAATTTAAAGTAATTTTTTCTACGACACATACGAGATTTTTACCTTGCACTTTACAGAAACAACCGAGATTTTTAGCTCAAAACTTGGCAAAATTATGAAATTTTTTTTGCGAATTTTGCCATGAAAAGCTACATAGCTATTTTTACTGTAGAGTGCAATATTCACAAAAAAAATCAATTTTTTCCGCGCGAAACTGGCGAAGATATAGCCAAAAAGTGGTCTTCTCACTGACCGCTCTCCACAATTTATGTGCTCTCTCGCCCGGAAAGATTGTCGAATATCTCGGCTCTCTTTGGGAATCGTGAGCTCAAATTTTCAGCGATTAATATGTAGCCAACACTAGATGCGTGTGCAAAATTTTAGCACAATTGTCGCGATTTTTTTTTTTTTTTTTTTTTAATTTTTTTTTTTTTAATTTATTTCTCTCAAAAATACATTGTATGTGCTACACTCTCAATGTTTCCACCCACGACACACTTTTTTCAACAGCTTCTGCCCCCTGGTCGTACGCTTCAATAAATTAATTTGCGGCGACAAGCGCTTCAATTATGGAAAAAACATTGAAGAAATGAAAAGTGGGATCGGTTGGCAATCTTCTTTCGGACTTTCGGAACTCCTCGCAGTGTGGAATTAATTTTTTAATATTCCTGGCCCTTCGTAAAACACTTTGTTCTTGAAAAAAATTAGATGAAAAATGGGGGAATATGTATTTACCACGTTTTTTCATCAATGCGTAGACTTTCTTCGTGGGCCGCACCCTGTATTTTTCGCTTTTTTGCACCGTCTACTGGTGCTGCGAGCAGCGCAGCGAAATGTTCTTTTTTCAGAGTGCGACAGAACTCACGCAAAAAACCGCACTGTGCAAAATCATAGGCTTTTTTGAACTAGAAAACCGCACTGTGCAAAATTATAGGCTTTTTTTAAATAGAAAACTGCACCGTGCAAATTCGTCCCCGGGGATTTTCGGCGACTCTGCACTGTGCATGAACCCGAAAAAACATTCTGCGTGCATCTAACTAAAAAGGTGCATTGCACAGTGCAATTTCGTTTTTTTTGCCTTCCCATTTTTCCGCGCGACAATTTAAGGCGAGAAAAATAGTATTATTTTCCCGACAGACTGCTAAGTTCCCATTATTTTCCCGACAGGCTGCTAGGACCCCATAATTTTCCCGACACGCAGGTAAATCATTATTTTTCCGACAAACTGATAAATCCACATTATTTTTCCATCAAACCGATAAATCCACATTATTTTTCCATCAAACCGATAAATCCACATTATTTTCCCGACAGACTGTTAAATCCCCATTATTTTCCCGACAGATTGCTAAGCCTCCATTATTTTCCCGACAGGCAGGAAAATCCCCATTATTTTTCCGACAAACTGATAAATCCACATTATTTTTCCGAAAACTGATAAATCCATATTATTTTTCCGACAGATTGACTAATCCCCATTATTTTCCCGACAGACTGATAAATCCACATTATTTTTCCGACAGACCGATAAATCCATATTATTTTTCCGGCAGATTGACGAATCCACATTATTTTCCCGACAGACTGAAATTAATAACACCCATTTTTGGATCTCCTATATCAGTCGTGATTGACGGTCTCCGTGCCCCCGCCTTGCCCGTCACTTCCCCGGAATGCCCCACTTTTCAACAAGCCCCAACGCTAATTCGGTCATAATCAACGCAAGCCCGGCCCGACTCAAATCCGGCCTGCCTGCGAGCAAATCCGGCAAATCTTTTATCAGCGCCTTGCATGACGGTAATTGGACGTTAATTGGGCGCTAAATTGGATGCGGATATTGCGTCTTATTTTCGGTGGCGGATTAGGGCCCGGAATAGTAGCGGTTGACGAGAGAGGGAAAATACGCGTGCTCTTCGTACGAAAGGCGTTTGTGATATGATTTGGATCGAAAATAGAGTGTCATAGGTACAATATCAAATAAATATGCACACATATTTGTGGTGAAAATGGATTTAATTTGCAGGAAATTGAGGGATTACGCTGATAAAAGGGGCAAAATGCCATGGGAAATATAAAAATTTGGATTCAAATTGAGTTTTGATGACTTTGTATTTGATTTTGAGGTGGTTAAAGGGGAGTTCAATGTAAAAATCGTCTTCAAATTGTAGATAGACACTTTTATCATAACATTAAAATGGCTACAGCACCTTATAATTACCCTATGTACAACTTATTTGCGGAAAAAATTTTAAAAAAAATTATATTATTTATAGTATATTATGAACATGAACGCCTCCTCTTCTAAGCCCAATTTTATCACATTGGAGATGCCTATGAAAAATCTCGTATCTTGGTTTTGACGGATACCTAATCTTATCCCAATTTTTTCATTTTTTCGGTCCATAATAAGGTCAGCTCTAATGAAACATAAGCCGTAGAGCCTTGTGTATTTCGATGATTAATGAGGTGATTGAAGATCTTTCACCATAATATTCTTGGAAGTACTGTAGCCCGGACAATATGACGATGTATTCTTTGGGTTTCGAAGGCTTGGAAATTTAAATTTTGCGGACTTATTATCGAATCTTAAATTTCGAAATTTAAAGTTTCTGCACTGTGCGGAGCATTTCCATGTCTACCAGTGACATTTTATTTATATTTTCATAAAGTGCGTAGACTTTTTTGCTTCTTTTCGCGAGTGCACAGTGCGTTCTGCCGCCTTTCATTTGCCTGTCGCGCACGCACCGTGCATTGCTGTTTTTCGCACAGTGCGGACTTTGAAACAGCGGTTTGCACTGTGCAAAATCTAAAAGTGCACAGTGCAAAAAATGGAGCCAGTTGGCGTCTGAGCTGCGCACTTTGCCCCGCGACAAAAAGTCTACGCACCTTGTGAAAATACTATAGAATTTCCTCTCCACGCCTTTCCCGCACTAGCAAAGCCAGAAGACCCCATTTGTCCGACATTAACACCGCACCTTGCCGGAGGCATCGCGACTTCCGTCCTGTAACATCCGGCATTTGGGGTTGGCTTTTCATTTTTGGCACCGTAAACGGAAGCGGCCGGCGTCTTAGCCGGGGCCAGAGGCGTCTTCTCACCTGGCCGCCCGAAATTCATTAGAATTTGGAGTGCGCCACATATCACTTCCTGAGGGTTTTTAGCTCGCGTTTTATAGGCGCAGCTGAGATTTTTGTGAGGCGGAACGACCGAGCTTCGAGGATTTCCCCACGAGGAACGATCTACATTTATTCAAATTTGATTGTACTTTCCCACGTGGGGCTTCCCTATAAAAGGGCCTCCTTTCCACTGAATAAATCACTTGACTCTTGAGCGTCTCGTCATCGTTACTGGGTTGTCGGGCCTTTCGACAATTTTCAAGATCTTTTTTTCTCCGAGAGAGAGAGAGAGTTCATGAAATGTGGAGGGCGGTCAGATAAAAAACCATATCCTCATTTTGGACCCCAAAAGTCAGGACGCGATCTAATTTTTTTTAATTTTGTTGCGGCGCAATCCATTATTAATGCAATTTTCGTTGCCACAGAGTGCTCATTATTTTCCCGACAGAAGCCTATTGCTCAATTCAAGGTTCAAGAAATTGCACGGTGCAAAAAATACGTTCGTTTTCGCACAGTGCATATCGCAAAAATCATCGTAGCGATTGGACGAACGCCATCGTACTAATAGTCACCGCCCTAATTTGCGCAAGCTCCCAAAAATACCCGCGTGATGTTTACCATGCTATCACCTCTTCTTCTCCTTCTATCCGATGACTACAACAAGTGTCGACGAAGACGGTCTTCGGGTCCCGCTAATCCGGGCGGTTTGTGTTCCAAATTCTGCGGACAGATTACTAATCCGCCGCTTGCAATTTACGCAATATCCGTCCCAGAGGTACAGGGTTGTAAAATTAATTCAATCGAATCGTTTGCCGTGGGGGGAGGAGCAGGAAATGCGTCCTGTTTAGGCGTCAATTAGGCGTATTTTGCGAGGTATATAAGAGGCCGGGCGGGTTGCGGTGAATTGCAGAGGTGCGCCTGACGGGTTGTGGGTCGGCGATGAAAAAATTTTGAGCTAGGATTTGGCCATGGGCCCGGTTTTTGGCTATATTTTTGGCTATATTTTCGATGGAACGGGCATATGAGTTTTGCCATATTTAGATGGTGGACTTGGCAACATATCATGGCAAAGTAGCGTCATAATATGTGGGTTAGGATAAAGCATATAGAGCCTATAGTTTTTTCTCGGAGAGCTGAGGTTGTAACCCGAGTTTGTCAGGGTGTCGGACACTTCGTGGGCATCTCTATTCGCGGACACCCAACTCGCGGACACGGGTTTCCCTATTCGCGGACGCCCAAGTATTTCCGTCTAATTATTTCTTATTTCTGCGTGTATATTGTTATATTGTTGCCAACGCTGTACAATGGATATCACTGATCCTGATGAAGAAGCCTCGTTCACGCCTGTTGCATTGCCGTCGCAACGTCGAGGGACGTATACGAGGTTTTTGGTGCCCCATCCAGACGACGATGGTTTGGTATACGCATTAACCAATGGTGGAAAAGCTGATAGAAAGGGAATTCTACGATACGTCTGTGCCTACTGCCGTGCCGTGAACGACAAAAACCGGAGGAATAAAGAAGACGTCACACATTCCCTTCCATATAGGGCGTCCGCGAACAGCGTGTCCGCGAACTGGGAATGTCCGCAAATAGAGATGTCCGCGAATAAGGTATCACTCGGTTTTTGGCTATATTTTTGATGGAACGGGCATGTGAGCTTTGCCACATTTAGATGGTGGACTTGGGAACATATCATGGCAAAGTAGCGCCATAATATGTGGGCTAGAATAAAGAATAGCGCCTATAGTTTTTCACGGAGAGCTGAGGTTGCAACCATAGTTTGTCACGGCTTCGGAGCCGCCTATTGGCTTCGTCTTTGAGCTGCGCCGGCTCCCGGAGATGTAGTCGGAGCCAGGCTTCTCAGCGTTCGAAAAGCTAAAAATTTCATGAACTTGTTAAATGAAATTATCTATTAGTTATGTTGCTACAGTAATTGCACGTGCGTTAGAGTAACACTACTGCTTTTTGGTAAAAAAATAATATCCACGGGAGCTGAAATTTTGACCGTAGACTCTGCTTACTACACCGGGCAAAATATCGTGAAAATAAGGAGATTTTTTTCAGTCTGTCGGGAAAATAATGAGCATTCTGTTGTGATCAAAAAAATTTTTCGCTGACGAGAAAATGAATTGTCAAAAAAATCGAATTTTTCTCTTCAGCGACAAATTGGCCTCATTATTTTGTCCTCATTATTTTCCCGACAGACTGATAGCCAAGTCAAAATTCCTTTGCCTGTAGTTAAATTAAATTTCCCCTTCAAACGACAAGTTTGAAGCTAATTAATTCATCTAATTCGTATAAATTATCATCGGGTGCAATAAACCGGATGCCCCGGATTAAACTTTCCAAGTTTTGTTGACAACAAAGAGCCCTGAGGGTTCGCAAAACTTTTGAAATCAAGCTGGAATTTAGCTGGAATTTTTTATCAGCCGTTTATGGGATTTTCGCAACGGATTAGCGCGCCTGAAACATTTTTGGGGGCCTGTACACACTAACATTTTCAGCTATTTTTATCCAATTTATAATAATGTCATTATATCCGCCGATTAGAAAATCAATTATGAATTTAATCCGGCTCCAAACAGGGACCAGTTTTTCATATATTTTTTCATATCATTGTTGTCTGCAATTGGTGATATGTCCACAGTATTAGGTTGGGGAATAAGTTTGTAGAGTTTTTTTTTGATTGCTTCGTTTTACAACGATAGTTTGTTGTTTGGCAAAGTGCGCATATGCATTGGATAGAGTTCTTTCCCCTCTACAAAACTGTGTTTTTATTTTTTTCTGAAGATATATTTTTTTATTATTTTTTGGGCTTAGAAGTGAACCATCTAAAAAACCCCATCTGACAGAGGAAGTACCCCAAGTGCGACGCTCAGATTTTGATGAAACTTGGCACAAATTTAGAATAATTTTTTATAAGATATATGCGGGAATCCTAGCTCGCGCTTTGCAGAAACAACCGAGATTTTTAGATCGATAGTCGGCGAAAATTTGGGACTTTTTACCGAATTTCGGGACGAAAAGTTTCCTGCCTATTTCTATCATAGAGGGTAATGTTTCCACAAAAAATCAATTTTTTCCGCGCAAAACTAGCGAAGTTATGGCCAAAAATTGTTTTCCTCTTTGACCGCTTTCCACGTTTAGTGTGCTGTCTCGGCGGCAAACATCGTTCAATATCTCGGCGGCACCCGCAAAGCGCGAGCTAAGACTTTCAGGAATTGATATTTAGTCTATTCCCGACGTGTGTGCAAAATTGAAAAAAAATCTGAGCGTCGTACTTGGGGTACTTCCCTTGTAAAAAAAAGGCAAAAATTTGCGTTTTCGACACCTGATTTTATAATTCAAGGCAGTGTCTGGCGACGTCATCCTCTCGCCGGCACACGCCTCTTTTCTCTTTCTCTCGCCGCCCCAAAAGCGTCTCCATTTAATTCCCCGCGGCGGGGATTGGATTCGACGCGCCTTTCTCTCTCCCCTTCCTCGCCAACAGAGAGGGTTATGGTAGCGCTCTTCCCTCAAAAGTTTGTAGACTTTTTGTCCCTGCTGTTTGTCTTGTTTCTGCACTGTGCGCGCTTTGCACTGAGCAAGAATACACAAAGTGCACTGTGCGTGGGCGATCAAAAATGAAAAGTCTACGCACAGTGCAGTTTGTCTTTTTTTCGCACTGTGCACGCTTTTTCGGGCGATCTCGCACTGTGCAAAAGTCGCCTTACGGGCGCAGCAGCGAATTGCACGGTGCAAAATGGTTTGGAAGCGTTTGCACTGCGCGAAAAAAAGCAAAATTCATTGTGCGTCGGCGATGAAGAGTGGAAAAGGTCTACGCACAGTGCAGTTTGCCTTTTTTCGCACTGTGCGCGTTTCTTCGAAAAATTTTGCACTGTGCAAGCGGTTGTCGCGCCCGTAAAGGACATTTGCACAGTGCGAAAAAACGCAACTTGCACTGTGCGTAGACTTTTTTGACCTTTCATCGCTGATGCACAGTGCAAACGCTTACGGGACCATTCTGCACTGTGCAGTTTCTGTTGCCCCCCAAAAAGCGGCATTTGCACAGTGCGCAATCGTTCGAAAAGGCGCGCACAGTGCAAAAAAAGGCAAACTGCACAGTGCATGTTTGTTTGTTTTTTGACCCTTCATCGTTGCCGCACAGTGCATTAATTTTGCGTTTTTTTCGCACAGTGCAAACGCTCCCAAACCATTTTGCACCGTGCAAGTGTTTGTCGCGCCCGTAAAGGCATTTGCACAGTGCAAAATGTTTCCAAAAAGCGCGTACGGTGGGAAGACAGGCAAACTGCACTGTGCAAAGACTTTTTTGACCTTTCATCGCTGATGCACAGTGCATTCATTTTGCCTTCTGTTGCACAGTGCAAACGCTTCCAAACGATTTTTGCACTGTGCAAAATGTTTCGCAATAGAGCGCACAGTGCGAAAAAAATGCAAACTGCACCGTGCATGTTTGTTTTTTTGACCCTTCGTCGCCGACGCACAGTGCATTCATTTTGCCTTTTTTTCGCACTGTGCAAACGTTTCTAAACAATTTTGCACTGTGCAGTTTCTGTTGCGCCTATTTTGCACAGTGCGAAAAAAGGCAAATTGCACTGTGCGTAGAGTTTTTTGACCCTTCATCGCCTTTTTCGCACGGTGCAAACGCTTCCAAATCATTTTGCACTGTGCAGTTTCATCGCCTTTTTCGCACGGTGCAAACGCTTCCGAACCGTTTTGCACAGTGCAAAATGGCTCGAAAAAGCGCGCACAGTGCAAAAAAAATGGCAACATGCACCGTGCAGTTTCAAAAAGGGACCTTTGCACAGTGCAAAATGGCTCGAAAAAGCGCGCACAGTGCAAAAAAATGGCAACATGCACCGTGCAGTTTCAAAAAGGGACCTTTGCACAGTGCAAAATGGCTCGAAAAAGCGCGCACAGTGCAAAAAAAATGGCAACATGCACCGTGCAGTTTCAAAAAGGGACCTTTGCACAGTGCAGAATCGCTCGAAAAAGCGCGCACGGTGCGAAAAAATGGCAACATGCACTGTGCGTTGGCGATGCGAAGTTTACTGGCTAATCAAAATCGTTTTTTTTTTTTTTTGAAGAGGGAGCAAGTTTTACGACGTTTTTGTTTATTTTTTGTCGTCATTCGCATAAAATCATGGGTATTCCGTTGTTTTTATTGTTTTACGACCGTCCAGCGGCCTCCATTTCACGCAATATCGCGTTCGTTTAATTAGGCTATCCCTGGATTGTGCTCCAGACAGCTTTTTTCGATACTTTTTTTCGAATTTGTCGCATATTATTGACTGGATTTTGACGTTTTTTTCGACCAGTTTTCTTGCTGTTTATAATTTTCTATTAATTTTTTCGATTTTCAGGCCGTTCCGTATACAAAACCACCCTTCTTCACATACAAAATTCCTCTTTAAAATACAAAACCAACCCCTTTTCCCAGCCCCTTCAATGACCTCAACAATGCGTACGAAAAAGTTTTTCATCGACTCCTTGCTGGAGGAGCGACAAAAACAGCTGGCGGCGGCCAATAAGGCCGAGTTCGGCTACGAGAACTGCGATGGGATTTGCAGTGGAGGCGAGGAGAGTGATGACGGCAAAATGTAAGGGGAATTTCGTTCGAGATTACTGTAATTTAGTGGCCGGAAAAAGTCATCTTTATGATAGTAATAATAAGTCATCTTTATTATAATATTTACTGGACTATCAGTAAGGTGCTCATTATTTTCCCGACAAGCCGATATGACGGTCGTATGATCCTTCTTGGGGTCTTGCAGCCTGCCGATGACATTTTATACGATGCATTTTTTTTATTCTCAGTCTGTCGGGAAAATAATGAGCACTCTGTCGGAGCGGAAATCGCATCGCCGGCGAGAAAATGAATTGTGTCGCGACAAAATCGAATTAATTTTCACTTCAACGACGCGGTCGGCGCAGCGGCGAACGAATCCACATTATTTTCCCGACAGCCTGATGCTCCAAGTCCGAGGATCAGATTTTGAAAAAACTAGATATAAAAAGTAGTTTTTCTAAGACGTATATGAAGACTTTTCTAGCTCACATTTTGCAGGAGCGAAGGATGTAAAAAATACGACACTTTTTCTCGAATTTTGTAATGAAAATTTTCATGCATATTTCTACTGTAGAGGGTAATTTTTCCACAAAATTGACACTCAGGGCAGAGTATAGCCATGATACGTGAACAAGGGTAGACTATACCACTGTTTGCAACGTGTTATATACTTTGTATCAGTCTGTCGGGAAAATAATGTGGAGTCGTCGCAGCAAAAATGAAATGTAAGATTCAAAAATCGCGGTAAAACCACATTATTTCCCGACAGACTGATAGTGTAAAAACAAAGTAAAAAAATAAAAAATCATATTTTTTAGCTATGGCAGAAATTTCAAAAAATAACTCTCTATAGCGACATTTTTTTTCTACTTTTTGGTGCTTTATACAGTTTTTTATATCCGAATCAATTTTTGCAGACGCTCCTCCCCTTCTTTGGACCCATCTCAGCCCGAGTTCTGCTCGGAATCGACGAAAAATTCGGAGACCACGACCAGCGGCAACTGCTCGCCACGCTCGTCGGAGGCGAATCCGGTGAGCGCCGGCTCGAATCCGTTCGTTTTGAGCGCGCTGGCGCAGAGCATGGCGTCCTCCGGGAATTTTATGAACATCTTCGCGAAGTTGTGTCAGAACGGGCCCGTCGCGAACAACAATCACATTGTAAGTGGGTAGATAATATATAAATATATATATATATATATATATATATAATATATAATATATATATACAGGGTGACAAATAAAAAATGCAACTTTTTTTCATGGGTCCTGCCGCGAAAATGTTTAGGTGTAGCGAAATATTTTTTATACCATTAAATTCTCCGTGTTTTTCTGTCCTAGTCTTTTGATTTTCATGCCCATATCGATTGATTATCATCTTTGTATTGAGTGTCAAACAGAGGGACCTCGATTTTAAACCTGTCTCGGGAAGAAAAAGGACAGTGTGAGATTGCTAAACTGCTCGGTGTAGGAAAATCTGCTATGCCAAAAGCCACCAAACGAATCCACGAGCTTGGCCACGATGTTAAGTGTCCAGGAAATAGAAGAAAGCGCATCTTGAACACTTCTGGCAACTTTGAGATCATCAAAAAGCGAGTGAAGCAAAATCTGATGGTGTCCATGAAAAAGATTGCCCGGCAGACCGTCATCAACACAACAGCTGGTCGATGAATGGCCAGCAATGCACCGTAGCGCAAGCCTAACAAGCTCCAAAAGACCTAGCGCCTCACGGAACACTACAAGCAAGTGCGGCTCAAAAAATGTCGAAAACTCAAGCGTCGCGCCGCAGCTCAGCGATGAGAGAAGGTCCTGTTCGCGGATGAGAAGTATTTCAACATCGAGCAGGCCTACAACCACCAGAATTGCAGGAGTTGGACTGTTGAGAGTCAAAAACCGTCCGCCATTTTTGAACCCAGTAAAAATCCGACCTCTCATGGCCTGGGGCAAAGTCTTGCGCCAGCGGCGTGATATCCTTGGTTTTCCTTGGTTTTCTTGGATAAAGGGGCCAGAACCAAACCGATAAGTCTACCAGCGACATTTTGTACACCAACGTGATTCCGTGGGCTCAGTAGCACTTTGGCGGTTCAAAACAGACATCGTAGCAGGATTCCGCCATCAGCCATAAAGCAAAAAAGACGCAAGGCCAGGAAAGGACCTGTTTTCCCGATTTTATGTGGTCTGCGAAATGGCCGTCTACTCGCTGGATCTGAATCCGGTGGACTATGTTTTTTGTTGAGTTAGAAGCCAGGACCTCTAGTTCACGCCAAAAAAGTTTGGAGCCGCTAATTGATTGCTGCGGTAAGAACGGAACCGATTTCCCCAAAAAAAGCTTCGGCGAATCGGCCAAAATTTAAAGTCACGTTTTGAGCTATATCTCGGGGCCAAGAACAGCCACCTTAAAACTGGTCGAGCATACTATTAACAATGCTCTATGTTACTGATATTCACCGTTACTTTGGTTAAGTTTGGTGTTTTAGACAAAATATGGCCACAAATATGAGTTGCATTTTTTCTTTGTCACCCTGTATATATATATATATATATATATATATATACATATATATATATATATATACGTATCATACGGAACGTTCGACACAAACCCTCATAATTCCCCTTCCAGGCAAATCCTCAGGCAATTGCGCAATCCGTCGAGTGTTTTAATCGCCTGCAAGCATTAAGCGCCCAGTCCCAATGGGTCCCCAAGGCCGACGAAACCAAACAGAACACCGCCAGGGTGCTGCAAACCCTGACGCAACATCCGGCCTTTCGCGGAATGCTCTTGCCCAAGCTCCAAAAAACGCTTCAAGGCGGCGGTAAGTTGTGCGATGCTTTTGTGAGAAAAAGAATTTTCAAAAAGTTCGTGGACACTTGTCGCGGTCCGCACCGTGCACAAATAACCCCTTTGTCGCACGATACTTTGATTTCGCACAGTGCAAAATGGGGTTTTTTTGCACGGTGCGGTGCATTTTTCATCTTTTTTGCACTGTGCAATTTCTGTCGCGTGCGCAAAAAATCGCGGCGACACTTGAAAACAGCTCACGTCGCTGCGACTTTTGAATTGCACGGTGCAAAATGGTGTTTTTTCGCGGCGACACGGTGCAATCGCGCGCGACACGGCGGCATTCCGATTGCACTGTGCAAAATTTTGTCGAATGCACAGTGCAAAATGGGATTTATTGCACGGTGCGGTGCATTTTGCATTTTTTACGCACAGTGCAAATCGCGCGCGACACGGCGGCATTCCGATTGCACTGTGCAAATTTTGTCGAAGGCACGGTGCAAAATGCGATTTCTTGCACGGTGCGGTGCATTTGGCGGCGCACAGTGCATTTTCTCTTTTTCCTTGAGCGAGTTTGAATTTTGTCGCGGCCCGCACCGTGCAAAAAGAAGTCGGATTTTGCACAGTGCATTTCACTTTTTTTGGTTTCGCACTGTGCATCGGAAATGTCGGAATCCTTCGATTGCGACCCCGCTCGATTGCGACCTCGCATCGATTGCGACCCCGCATCGATTGCGACCCAAAATGGGGTAAAGCGACCCCGGGATGAAAATTCTTTGATTCTCTTCGGGAAAAACTTGCTTCAGGGGTTTTCGAGGGTGCTGATTTCGAAAATGATGTTCATTTTTCCTCTAGTACTACATAGTACTGTCTGATACTATATAGTACGAAGTCAAAATATGGCTTTTGACGTTAATGGTGTTGGTTTGATGCTTAGTACTCTTCAAAAACACATTTTAAAGACTTGGTGCTATATAGTACTGTCTGATACTATATAGTACAAAGTCAAAATATGGCTTTTGACGTTAATGGTGTTGTTTTGATGCTTAGTACTCTTCAAAAACACGTTTTAAAGACTTGGTGCTATATAGTACTATCTGATACTATGTAGTACGAGGTGTAAAGTTGGCCTCTAGGCGTTGGTGGTGTTGTTCTGGTGCTTAGTACGCCTATTTTTACTTCGTACTATATAGTATCAGACAGTACTATATAGCACCAAGTCTTTAAAATGTGTTTTTGAAGAGTACTAAGCATCAAACCAACACCATTAACGTCAAAAGCCGTATTTTGACGTCGTACTATATAGTATCAGACAGTACTATGTAGTACTAGAGGAAAAATGAACATCATTTTCGAAATCAGCACCCTCGAAAACCCCTAAATCGAGTATTTAACATCAAAAGCGATATTTTCACTTCGTACTATATAGTATCAGACAGTACTATGTAATACTAGAGGAAAAATGAACATCATTTTCGAAATCAGCACCCTCGAAAACCCCTAAAGCAAGTTTTTCCCGAAGAGAATCAAAGAATTTTCATCCCGGGGTCGCTTTACCCCATTTTGGGTCGCAATCGATGCGGGGTCGCAATCGATGCTGGGTCGCAATCGATGCGGGGTCGCAATCGATGGAATTCGGAAATGTCGCCGCGACGAAGGCTTTTTTTCAACTGCCGTGGTTTCGTTCAAGAATTTGCACAGTGCAAACGACTTTCATCTTTTGAGGTTTGCACTGTGCGAAAAAAAAGGAAAATAAAAATGCACGGTGCGTTGGCGACAAGCGTGGGAAAAAGTTCAAAGTGCACTGTGCGGAAGAGAGCAAATGCCCATCTTTTTGCACGGTGCGGTGCAGTTTGAACCGTTTTGCACTGTGCGCGCGCTATTTTAGACAATTTTGCACTGTGCAAATAGAGCAAAATAAAAATGCACTGTGCGCCGGCGACAAGCGTGGGAAAAAGTTCAAGATGCACTGTGCGAAAGGGAAAAAATGTCCTTGCACTTTTTGAAAATGCTAATGGCGGTTTTTTGCACAGTGCAATGCATTTTATAACTTTTTGCACTGTGCTTTTGTCTGTCGCGTAGCAAAAATCGCAGCGACGCCTTTTCACAGTGCAAAAAAAATATATATATATATATTTTTTTTTTTTTTTATTTTTTTCAATTTTTCCTTGACATTCCCCCATTTCAGGCAACATCCAATCAGCGTTGGCGAATCTGGCGGAGGAGATTCGCCAGAAAACGGGCCAAATCCCCACTCCCGTCCCCACTTCAACGCCGCCCAAATTCGTGGAGAGTGTGGCGCGGAAGCCGGGCCGCGACGGCCGGCCCGCGCCCCGCAGCTCCAATGTCAAAAAATACCGATGCGACGTGTGCGAGAAGACGTTCTCGCGCAGCAACACGCTGATCACGCACAAGCGAATCCACACCGGCGAGAAGCCGTTCCAGTGCGAGCACTGCGGGCGGGCGTTCCGTCAGCCCGGCAACCTGACGCGGCACAGATTGACGCACACCACGGTAAGCGAAGATGTGAAATTTTTACAGGGTCTTTCAAGAAACGTGAAGGAAAGTAGGAGGCTATTACTTTCGGCGGAGGCGGCGCAGAGAGCTCGTTTTTGGAATACGAATTTCTAAGCGACATTATTTTTTGCCTACGAAATACCAAGCTTTTGGAGTGCAAACTGAGGTCGCTACGACCTTCTGAAGTAGAGGCATCTCTACCCCGAAAACTAGGTTTTTTCGGTTGAAAATGATCGTGAAATTGCGGTCTTTTTCGGTTGAAAATCACCAAGAAATGTCGGATTTTTTTCGGGGGTTTCGATAGAGTTGACGTTGAAAAAAGGAAGGATGTTGCCAACTCTAAAAGCTTGTTATTTCGTAGCCAAAAAAATAATGTTGCTTAAAAATACATATTCCAAAAACGAGCTCTCTGCGCCGCCTCCGCCGAAAGTTATAGCCTCCTACTTTCCTTCACGTTTCTTGAAAGACCCTGTACTATTACAGTGGGGGATCTGATTCAGTGGCAAAAAACGTACCATTTTGCATTCGGGCAGTATCAAAAATGCGGCAAAATGCTTCCCTCTCCAAGTGAAAAACCCCGTTTTGAAGGGCGCGCGCTTTTTCCTCACAAGAGAAGAGCGGGCGCACTTTTTATAATACATCTGAGTTTTTTCAATTTGAGAGAGAGGTATTTTGCCACATTTTTTTATGTTTCCTGGATACAAAATGGCACGTTTTTTGCCACTGGATCAGGTCCCCCACTGTACCAGTTTGTCGGGAAAATAATGAGTTTCTGTTGGCAGCAAAAGTCGCATCGCCGCAAAGAGATTAGAAAATGAAAATTTGTCGCGGAAAATCAAAGTTTTCCCCCCAAAAACTGATGATGCCAAAGACTGATACGTAAATTTTACCAGTTCAACTTACAAAAATTATAAATTTTTCTAGGTCCTATCGCTTTTTCAGACCTAATACAGGAACAGAATTGATTTTCAGACCATTCTCACCATTTTAAACAGCTGAAACAGAATGCCAAAAATTTTAAAAAATGGCGAGAAATTTGAAATTTTGATTGCTCATTATTTTCCCGACGGACTAATAAAGCCAATGTTGGTGTTTTCTTACTTTTTGAAGGTCCCTCCCAAAGAGAGCGGGAGCGCTTTTAAAATTAGACCTTACTTGGAGAAGGAGGTATTTTGCCACATTTTTGATGCTTCCCGGATGCAAAATTATACGTTTTTTGCCAATGGATCAGGTTTTCCACTGTAATACAGTCACAGAATTGATTTTCAGACCACTCTCATCATTTTAAACAGCTGAAACAGATTTTTTAAAATTTTAAAAAATGGCGGGAAATTTGAAATTTTGAATGCCCATTATTTTCCCGACACATTGATATAAACAATGTTGGTGTTTTCTTACTTTTTGAAGGTCCCTCACAAAGGGAGAGGGAGCGTTTTTAAAATTAGACCTTACTGCTCAGATGCAGTGACAAAAAATGTGCCATTTTGCATCCGGGAAGTATCAAAACATGTGGCAAAATGCCTCCCTCTCCAAGTGAAAAGATTCCAATTTCAAAAGCGCGCCTGCTCGTTTTGTGAGGGCTCTTCAAAACGAAGTTTTTTCACTTGGAGAAGGAGGTATTTTGCCACATTTTTGGTACTTCCCGGATGCAAAATTACGCTTTTTTGCTTTAACTGTAGTAACATTCGCTTGTAAAAAACACAATCTTCACCTTGTCCATTTTTCAGGTGAAGCCATTTGTGTGTCCCGAATGCTCCAAGGCCTTCAACCGCGCCTCCAACCTGCACACCCATATGCGAACACATCTGCAGAACAGCCCGTCGTGGAGTCATCATCAGTGCGGCAAGTGTGCCAAGAGCTTCTCGCTGAAGACGGAGCTCTTGACGCACATTTGCGAAGTCCCCGCGCAATTCGATGAGACGGAATAGATTAGAATGCAACTTTTACACTCTGTAGAACTGATTTTTTACTTTTTTATGTTCAACATTGGTATATACAAAAAAATTTTTTTACCATACAAAAATATTTTTTTTGGACAAAACCTTTTTGGCAATACTTTTATGTTTTTCTCGCTTACTTCTTTTTTATTGTGTTTACACTTTTTTTACCTCCAGGCGAAATTGTTGGTCTCATTTCGAAAATTTTTCAAAAAATCTCGTTTCAATTTTTGGTGATCTCTATAACACTTTAATCTTTAATCTTGTTTCATTGTATATTGCATTTTTTCAATGTTTTTTACAATAATAAACCGAGTATAGATGATTTATATATCGGAAGATCATCATAAATTGTCACAGTGCAAAGAAAATTTGTTTTCTCACAGGGCGTAGCACCGTTCTCGGTCCGGCGATTTCTACAGAGCCTAACCGGGCCGGTCCAGACTTCGATCCCAAGAAAATGCCAAGCTGGCCGATCTACGTCAAACTGAGGTAAGCTAAAGTGGTTCACGAAGGACGGAAGGTCCGCTAAAAAAAGGAAATAGGGTGGGGATGGGAGGAGGTTTTCGATGGTGCTGATTTCAAAAATCGTATCCATTTTTTCTGAATTTTACAACTTTGCTTGAGCAGTAGTATTAATTTGTAATTAAAAAAAAATTTTGTGTAATATATTTTGGGGTTTCGAAACCAGTGTAAAAAATTCAGAAAAAAGTGTAAAAATCGATAGTTATATAATAGTTTTCCCGACCTGATAGCCTATTCTATGCATTTTTATTCGTTTTCTGCTCCAGACATTCAAAAATAAATCCCCAAATAACTACGTAATTTTTCCCAGTACTGAAACAATGACTTACGTCTGCCAGATTACCCACGCATCAGAATTTGTGTTTAGCCCTTGTATGCCAAATTGAAAAGAAGAGGATTTGGTACATTAATCTGTGATGCTCGAATATGTTCTTTGAATAAAGTAACAGAAAAATTATATGTATAAAAGAAATTCATCTGAATTCAAGATTAAAAAAAAGTTCGTTTCAAACTTTCAAAGGTACCAGTCGACGTCGGAAAATGAGAGGTACGGCGATCGTGCCGAGAAGGACGAGAATTTCAATGTCCCACGAAATGGTCGGACCAAAGGCTTGGTAGATGTTGCTGAAATCAACAAGTTTTGCTATTATTATTTTCATAAAGTGCATGGACGTTTTCTCACTTCCGCACTTTGCATTCTGAACCTTTTCCCACGCTTGTCACTAGCGCACAAGCTCAAAAAAATAGCCGTTTTCACTGTTTGTTGTTCGAAATGTTTCAGTCAATGATAAAAGACCCTGAAAAGTACCAAAAAACACAATGCCAAAATATTGCCAAAATGGCGGGAAAATTGCATTCAAAGTCGTTCTAAAAATTGCTTAACCTTCAAAGTTGGGCTAGACTGGACCGAGCGAGTTTGAAAAATTGCGCCGTCCTTTTCCGGCACTCCAAGGGGGCCCTGCGCCGGGGCCAATGCGCTATCTGAAAGTTTGCTGAAAATCATAGGGCGCAGCTCGGAGAACTTCCGCGGGCACAGCTCGAAAACAAGCTGAAACTTAGCTCCGGCGAGCTGCGAAACGTTGTTTTCCGCGCTGCGCCCTACCATTTTTGTTTCGGGACACAACAATTTTCAGCAAACCCTCAGCAAACTTTCAGATAGCATATTGGCCCCCGGCCTCTAATCGGCCCTTACAATTGTCAGCCGCAAAGCGAAAATTGGGATTTCCAATAAAAGTAAAAGGCAAAGTCAAGCTTCAGAGCCATGTCTAGGCCGGGCTGGACCATAGGTCCACGCCGCCGGGCCTGGCTTCGAAAATCTGAGAAGCACCGCACTGCAGGTTGACGCCAAGTCTTTCCCTGATGTGTCAAGGTTCTCTCTCCTGAAAATAATTATTTTTGTTTTCTTGACATATTGTCCAGCCTGTTTCTCCATGAAGATGGACTGAAAAGTGGTCAAGTAAGTTATTATTAGCAAGAGGAGGTGTTCTTCTTTCATTTTATGCCAAAAATGTTGATTTTGTTTCAGGGAAACATACAGAATTCATCCAATTCGCGGAGCTAGTTTTTAATGACCATAGATAATGCAAGTCCACTTATTTCGTTTTTTCGTCATTGAGTTAGCAATACAAGTTTGCCTAAGACTTAGAGGAGACCTCACTCTTTCGGGTTGTTGACTTGGCGTCAACCTGCACTGCGCCGGGCCGGCTTCGACGGCCGGAGACCCGGAAATGCCAGAAACCCGGCCCTCTAGCCATGTCTGTCCACAAAACTTCTAGCACTTCCCTACCTAAAGAACCCTCTGAAACATCAATTTTTTGAGAAAATATGTTTTCCCACCTGATAATCAACGGCCCAGTCAGCCTCGCCATGCTCCCGAACATCTGCTGAATCCCCTGCAACGTCGCTTGTCGCCTCGGCCCGATAATCTGCGTAAACATTGTGTTCATTGAGAGATTTATCGTGGGAAACGCGATCCCAATGCACAGTGAGTACGCAATGTAAAACAAGTAAATATTCATCGGTTTCACGGTGTCGCACCAGTCGAATCGGTCGCTGTTACAGCCCACCGGCTCTGTGGTGGAGTTGAAGAGGTCGAGGTTGTTGTAGGTGGAGAGGTGGCCCGGTAGAAATGGGTAGGAATATGTGACAATGTGGAAGAGCAAGAGGATACATAGGCCGAGTATGCAGCATTTTCGGTAGTTGACACTGTAAAATGAGGTTGAACAAGGTTACAGTAAGCTTTTAGAAGGATTTGAGGGCATTTGGGAGGGATTTGATGAGCTTCCCTGATCTTCAGGGTTTTCGTGGTGGGACCCAAAAAATCCGTTAATATCGCGTAATTTTGAAAATAAAACAAAATCATCGATGTAGTAATTAGTAAAATACGTTTCTTTCCTTCTGATTCTAAATTTTGACGGTTTCCCCTGATCTTCAGGGTTTTCGTGGTGGGACCCAAAAAATTGGGATAATAGCGCTAATTTTGAAAATAGAATAAAATTGTCGATGTAATTATTAGTCAAATACCCTACAATGTACATTTTCAAGATTCTGACAGGTTCCCTGATCTTCAGGGTTTTCGTGGTGGGACCAAAAAAATTGCGATAATCTTGCGTAGCCGTCGCTCACCGTTTATCCATCTTGAACACCACAAACGAGCCGTATATCAGGAACGCTAGCGTACTCAAAACTGCATGGGAAGTGGCGACAACCGTGACAGCCTCCTTTTTCGTCAACGCGAAAATCGTCATAGCCATGGGACTGCCCAACGTCTCCAAGTTTGTGTAGGTGAACATTTGAGTGAAGCGGATGAAACAGCAAATAAAGACGGCCAGCTTGTCGTATGGAGGGAGCTTCACCTTCTCCAGCTCGCCATTTTCCTGGAATTTTTTATTATTTTTTTTTTTGAATTTTTTTTTAAATTTTACACATATTCTGATCATAGATCATTTATCAATCCCTTCAAATTTTAGCTCGAGATCTGTAAAGACAGCCGAGTTATTCAAATAACAAAAAAAAAATCGTGGCCGAGAGAGCACGCGAAATGCGGAGAGCGGTCAGAGAAAAATCGGCTTTTTGGCCATATCTTTGCCAGTTTTGTACGGAAAAATTGATTTTTTGTGGAAACATTACCCTCTTAAATTGTAGAAATAACCGTGCAACTTTTCAGGGGGGAAATTCGCAAAAAAAAATTTCACATTTTTCACAAACTTTTGAGCTAAAAATCTCGGTCGTTTTTTCGAAGCGCGGACTAAAAATCTCGCATATGTCTTAGAGAATACGATAGAAATTGGCATAAAAATTTTCGTGACAAAATTCGGGAAAAAATGTTCACTCCCCCTCATTTTGAAAATTGAAAAAATGAGGCGTGACATGTTATACGATGGAATTTTTTTTCAAATTGAGAAAAATTGGGTGTGACATCTTAATTTGAAAAAAAATTGCATTGTATAAGATGTCACACCTAATTTTTTCAATTTGAAATAAAACTTTTCATCGTATAACATGTCACACCTCATTTTTTCAATTTGAAAAAAAACTTTTCATCGTATAACATGTCACACCTCATTTTTTCAATTTTAAAAAAGTTTTCATCGTATAAGATGTCACACCTCATTTTTCATTTTTCAAAATTCGGGAGTGTTCAAAAAAGGGGGAGAGTTCAGGCTCAACCATTTAGCACAACAAAATCTCACATTGACCTGGACCCTCTTCGCGATTCCGGCGTATTTTTCTTCGAACATGAAGAAAACAACGAAAATTCCGGCAAAATTCACAACCATCGCGATGAATGATGGGGCTGTGTACATGTTAATCAGCATGCCTCCGACGAGATTCCAGCCCGGATAACCCATCGGGGTGAAGAGGAGTTGAACCGCTGGTCCAGTCGTCATTCCCAACGCAAAGCCGCCAGTGATGAAGGCGATGGTCCTGGAGCGGTCGTCCGCTTTGCTGGCCATCACTCCGTAGCTGCGCAGCAGACTGAAAACCCCTGAAAAGTGCGTAAAAAAGATTGGAATTGACAAAGCGAAATAAGCGTCCGCTTACCAGCCGAAAATCCGACAATGGCTCGGGAAGAAAAGACTATGTATCTCCTCGCCGGATGGCTCTCAAACACCTGCGCCGTGAAATACATGATATTCCCGAGGATGCTGAGGGCGAGACACGCGATGATCGGATACTTTACATTCTTCTGTTTATTGCTCCAGAATCCAATCAAAGGAGCGCCAAGGATTTGACCAAACGAATAGACCGCAATTACGTTACCGTAGAAACGCTCCGTGGACGTGGGATCTAACTGAAATCATATTTTTTGGGTAAGGAAAAGACGTATTTTAGAGCAAAACTTTCGAAAAATTGCACAGTGCAAGAAAAAATTCAAAAAAAAATCCGCACAGTGCAAAAGTATAGGCTTTTTGAAAGTAAGATTTTGCACAGTGCGAAAATTTAGGCTTTTTTCAACTAGATTATTGCACTGTGCAAAAATTTAGGCTTTTTATAGCTATAAAACGGCACTGTGCAAAAGCATAGGCTTTTTATAACTAGAAGATTGCACAGTGCAAAAGTATAGGCTTTTTGAAACTAAGATTTTGCACTGTGAAAAAATTTAGGTTAAATTCATTCTAGTTTTTTGCACTGTACGAAAATTTGGGTTTATTTAGAACCTACACAGTGTAAACTTAAAAAAAGGTGCTCTCGACCACACCGCACAGTGCAAAAATGTCGACTTTTTTCAACTAGATGATTGCACTGTGCAAAAATCTAGGCTTTTTTCAACTATAAAATTGCACAGTGCAAAAGCGTAGGCTTTTTTTCAACTATGAAATTGCACTGTGCAAAAAATGCTTGAAGAATTTCAGTTTGCGTTTTTTCCATTGGCAGCTGCAAAATTCTAAGTTGCCCGATTTCCGAAAAGTTCCAAATGCCCACAATCACACTGCACTGTGCAAAAATTTAGGCTTTTCTTTCACCTAAAAATGTGCACAGTGAAGAAATGTGGGCTTTTCCGAACTAAAGTTTTGCACTGTGCAAAATTCTAGGCTTTTTTCAACTACGAAATTGCACAGTGCAAAATCCTAGGCTTTTTTCAACTACAAAATTGCACAGTGCGAAAATATAGGCTTTTTTAAACTATAAAATTGCACAGTGCAAAATCCTAGGCTTTTTTCAACTACAAAATTGCACAGTGCGAAAATATAGGCTTTTTTAAACTATAAAATTGCACAGTGCAAAATCCTAGGCTTTTTTCAACTACAAAACCGCACTGTGAAAAACAAATATTTTTTCGCTTATTGACCGAGAACAAATCATTTCCGAAACCCGAAAAACTCCACTTACAATCTGCAAATAGGGCCACATGGAGCTGAAATACAGGCTGAATTGGATGGCGTTCAAGTAGCTCAAGATGACCATGATATAAATCGACTTCCATGGAGTTTTGTCGACAATTTTAGTTTTATTATCCAGTTTCAAATTGTTTTTAGAGACTTCTTTAACAATTTCCTCACCAATTTCAGCAGTAATTTTTGCGGACATCCCGTGAAAAACACAAAATTAAATTTTTCGAAGAAATTAGAACTTTTAAAGTCAACTCGCCCAAATTTTTATTCACAATGCACGGAAATGTTAGTGCAAACAGATAATTTATGCAAATTCAAGTGTCCGGTGACCTTGATTCAAGTTATAACTCATGAATTCCTCGATTCTAGTTGGTATTTTGTGGTCACAATGGAATTATGTGCAATGAAGAGGATATTTTTTTCTTTTTTTTTTAATATGCGATATATTTTATAATCTGCATACGATTTACAAAAAAAAATGGATATAAATTTTTGCGAAGTTCTGCAATAAATTTTGGCTTTTTTGGGTCCCACCACGAAAACATGAAAATCAGGGGAGGATAAAAAATGTTGATAAATTTAGAATCAGAGGAAAAGGCAATGTATTTTACAATCAACTACATCGACGATTTTATTTTCAAAATTACGTGATATTAACGGGTTTTTTGGGTCCCACCATGAAAACCTGAAAATCAGGGAAAACCGTCAAAATTTAGAATCAGAGGAAAAGGCAACGTATTTTACAATCGACTACATCGACGATTTTATTTTATTTTCAAAATTATGCGAGATTACGGATTTTTTGGGTCCCACCACGAAAGCATGAAAATCAAGGGAGGATACAAAATGTTGAATAGGAACAAGACAACATATTTTACAATCAACTATCGGCGATTTTACTTTCTTTCCAAAATTATGCGAGATTAACGGATTTTTTGGGTCCCACCACGAAAACCTGAAAATCAGGGGAACCCGTCAAAATTTAGAATCAGAGGAAAAGGCAACGTATTTTACAATCAACTACATCGACGATTTTATTTTATTTTCAAAATTATGCGAGATTAACGGATTTTTTGGGTCCCACCACGAAAACCTGAAAATCAGGGAAAACCGTCAAAATTTAGAATCAGAACAAAAGACAACGCATTTTACTAATAACTACATCGGCTATTTTATTTTATATTGAAAATTATGCGATATCGCGGACTTTTTTGGGTCCCACCACGAAAACCCTGAAGATCAGGAGAACTCATCAAATCCCTCCCAAAATGCCTGCAAATTCTTCTAAAAGCCTACTGTAGCGCGTTTAAAGTTCAAAACTCTCCAATTTTTCAAATATTATATTTATTAAATCATCTGCGAACAAAAATTTTCAAAAATACAAACATTGTCGTTATAAAAATCACAAAGAATAGTGAAAAATTCAATTTACAAAAGAAAAAGAATTGAGTATGGGATGCAAAAACCAGTTGGATGACACGTCAAGGGCTTTTAAATCTTAACAAAAGATACTGCAACAAAAATTTTTTTTTTTTTTGAAAATTACTGTAGGATTACAAATGATGTGAGCGGAACAAGTTGTAGAGTTCGTCGACGAGGGCTTCGTGTCTGAATGAAACTCGGATGTCGGGGACATTGGTTCGGGCGACGTCGTTGCCCAGGACGCCTTCTTCTTTGTAGTTGGGACCGAGCCAGTGGATCTTTACCTTGTCTTCGAAGCCGGACTGGAGCACCGAATTGCGGGCCAGCTCGCACATGTCGCAGCTGGACAGCTTCCAGACCTACAGACAACATTATACGTTGATAAAAATTCGTTTTAAAGTAATGTTGGAAAATTTTTGGTCCCATCACGAAAACATGAATTTACCCAGTTCACTTCAAAATTGCTATAAACCATTCAATATGGTCTAAAATTGAAGACAAGGTCAATTTTCCGGTAATACATTCACTTTCAAACCCATTTTTCCTATTATATTATCCATGAGACACCTGATGTAAAATTGTCTACAGCTCTCCTAAAACCAACTAAACCATCAAAATCCATATCCAAGAATATTCAGCGACCTTTAAGCTTTCTATAAACCCCAGAATTCCCCTTACTTCCACTCTACACTAACCAGTTTTCGCCTATATTATCCATGAGACACCTGATATTGAAACCGCTGAAAACTTTCTCAAACTATCGTAAACCACCAAAATAGCTGTTCCATTGTCCTCAATAGACCCTACTCTCTCCATACTATTCAAAACTACCCATCACACCACTGAATACTATCCAAACTTCGCAGATGCCTCATGGATAATATAGACAAAATTTAGATAGTATTCAGCCGTATGATATGCAATTTACGGAGAGAGTAGGGCCTGTTGAGGACGAAGAAACAGCTTTTTTGTTGATTTAGGTCAGCTTGAAAAAGTTGTCAGCGGTTTCAATAGCAGATGCCTCATGGATAATATAGGCGAAAACTGATTGATGTAGAGTGGAAGTAGGGAGAGTTTAGGGTTTTATAGAAATCTTGAGGGTCGCTGAATATTCTTGGATATGGATTTTGATGGTTTAGTTGGTTTTAGGAGAGCTGTAGACAATTTGAGTAACAAGTGTCTCATGGATAATATAATAAGAAAAATGAGAGTAAGAGCTGTTGAGGGCTTATTAAATCATCAAAGAACTTCTATTTTGATGATTTAGATCATTTCGAGGAAGTTGTCAGCGTTTTCAATATCAGTTGCCTTATGAATAATATACCCCTCATGGATAATATTGGATAATAAACAGCTCCGAACTTCTTGTATTTCTCCCTACCTGTGCGGCAATGCTGAATTCCTCCATCAGGGCCTCTTTGGTGAAGTGGAATTGGAGCGGGTCGTCCGTGGAGATCGACACATTCAGGCCTTTCATTAGGTATTCCGGGAGTGGGTTTCGATGATAGCTGATGAATAGGGAATTATTCGAGAGTGGCGACATGGCCATTCCCATTTGGGTCAAGTAGAAAAGATACTGCAGAACGGGGACTTTCCTCAACAGGAGGCCGTGAGAGATGCTTTCGGAGGTCAGATAGCCGATGATTAGGTGGTTCACATGGCCGGCTTCGCCGCAATGCGGGCGGAGGGCGAATGTGTTTAGGCCTCGCATGCGGCGGAACGCGTTCAAGGCGGTCAGATTCGCGTACATGTAGTACAAATAGTAGCTGTAGGGTGGGTTCTCGGGGTCGTTGTAGTCTGCGGGCTCGGGAGTTGTTTTGTCGAACTGAAAATTACATTATTCTAGCATCAAAATCCAAAAAAAATTTTTTTTTCAAAAATTTTTTTTTGCGAAAAATTTGTGCATACTCAAAGTGATATTTCCTAAGGTGTTTTTGAAGAGTTATCAGCTTTCATTTCACAAAAATCGCCACGATTTTTCGATGCCAAATTCAAAAATCGTCTCAAACTTTCGCACTGTGCGAAGACCTAGGCTAAAAAAAGCCTACGATTTTGCACTGTGCAACAACTTAGGCTAAAAAAGCCTACGATTTTGCACTGTGCAGAAAATTTTTTCCATTTGACCGAAAAATGATTCAAATACCATTCAATGGTGCGTTACCGGCCTCAAGGCAATATTTCCTTATCTAGTTACAAAATTTCGTCCAAAAACCCCCGAAAAATCACCAAAGCTTTACAAAAATTATATTACACATGACCACTTACATGCACATATTCGTGTTTGGATTCGTCATCAACCGAGTCGATTCCACTGACATTCAGGAGGAACCTGAAGAGTTCGGGATGCGAATCCGGGTCGTTCGTGGCTTCGAACAGCGGTGTGAACAGGTTGTCCAGGAATTCGTCAAAGTTTGCGATCATGTTCTTCTGCTTGTAGACATCACTAAAAAACCGTATTTTACGAAATAAAAATTTGCAAAACACCTTATTAACCTGATTTGACATTATTTTAGGCCTTTCAAAACAAAAAAATGCGTTTTTAAAATTTTTTGGTCCCACCACGAAAACTTTCAATTGTCCATAAAAGACCCCCAGGCTTTTTTAAAGCTTCAATATGCCCCAAAAAACGCCTCACCAACTTATTTGGCATATTTACACGACTTTCTCAACTTTTTTGGTCCCACCACGAAAACTTTCAATCATCCATAAAAACCTCCCAGGGCTTTTTAAAGCTCCAATATACCCAAAAAAATTATTACCACCTAATTTGGCATATTTACACAACATTTTCAACTTTTTGGGTCCCACCACGAAAACCCTGAAAATCAGGGAAACCCTGCAAATCCGCTCAAAACCAACATCTCTTACAATAATCGAGGGATCTGGACCATCCATCTGACATTCGGCGACCAAACATCGTTCGTAATCGCCCATTTAGCCAGTCTATCCCATTCATCATTTTTTCGGCCATAAATCGATAGCCTTGGCTCTGCCTGCTGGTACTTCGAGTCCTCCAGATCCGATAGTACTTCTTTCAGGACTTCCGCAAAGTATTTTCCCTCCACATAATTGTCGGTTTTGATGAAAACTTCGCGCAGTGAGCTCTGGCCCACCGGATTGTACTTGGTGTTGAACTTGTCGAAGCGGTGGAAGGTGTTGCGGTCGGCGTGCACGTCGAGCATGTCCACGCTGAGGTCGTAGGCGTCCAGACCGAGTTCCTCGAACAGTTCCTTCATCGTGATTTTGCGGTTTCCCTGGAAAATCCGACATTTTTTTTGATCACCATATTGTAGATGGGGTGGATGTCAAAAAATCAAATTCTTGATATTCCAACTCAATTTTTTTGGCCAAAATCTTTTCACATAACAAAATTGAAGGCCTTACCTGTTCCATGACGACCACATCGGCTTCGGTCTTCAGCTTCTTCTTGATGAAACGCAGCAAATGTTTTTGGTTCATGGAGGAGGCGGCGTGGATGTGCGTGTCCACCTTCCTGATGTTGTAAAAGTCGCGGTGCGGCACGGATTTCTGTTCGTGCAGCTCGCGGAGTTCGTTCAGCAGCACGTGCAGCTGGAATTTGGTTTGGAGGAAGGAGAGGCGGCGGTAGCAAAACGATTTCAGTGGGCCGTCCGCAATCATCGTGATCAGGCGCTCGTAATCCTTCAAAAACTGTTGCCGGCTGATGTAAAAGTTGGCCAATTCCGGGTGTAAGTCGCCTTGAGCGTTGAGAACTTCAACCTGGAGGGGGAAAATATAAATTTAGCCTTGTCTTCGGACTCAAACCGTCAATTTTACCTTATTTTAGACGATTTTTTGGGGAAAACCTCAATTTTCACTTTTTTTTCAAATTTCCTCCGGCTATATAACTCTAAATTCACATTCTAGGCCATAATCTTCAATAAAAAACCAAAATACATTACTCTATCTTCAGTTTCACATCAAAATCATCAATTTTTACCTTATTTTAAGCAATTTTATTTCAAAATTTTGATTTTCTCAATTTTCCCCCAATCCCCTGTGGCTATTTTCACCTCCAACCGCCTCTACAGAGCATAAGCTATTTTGACCCAGATTAGCTCCACTTTCACTGTTCAAAATCCATTTTTACCTTATTTTAGGCCATTTTCCTCCAAAATTTTAATTTTTCAATTTTTCTCTAATCCCGTGTGGCTATTTTCACCTCCAACCATAGCTACAGGTCATAAACTTCAAAGAAAAAGCTATATGAAGTCAGATTAGCTCCACTTTCCCTGCTCAAAATCCATTTTTACCTTATTTTAGGCCATTTTCCTGCAAAATTTTAATTTTTCAATTTTTCTCTAATCCCGTGTGGCTATTTTCACCTCCAACCATAGCTACAGGTCATAAACTTCAAAGAAAAAGCTATATGAAGTCAGATTAGCTCCACTTCCACTGTTCAAAATCCATTTTTACCTTATTTTAGGCCATTTTTCCCCAAAATTTTGATTTTTTCAATTTTTACCTAATCCCCTCTGGCTATTTTCATCCCAAATCTACCTTCACTTCATCTTCAATCTTTATGACACATTTTTCCGTCAAAAAAATCGACCTACCACGCCGTGTCTCCTCCCCAATTTGAAGGTTTCATACTTTGGGAGGGCTTGATTCAGGCCCCAATGGTCGACCGGCGGCTCCGGCGGATGGAATGAGGTATGTGCGGCTGGAAAACGATGCGCAATTACATTTTAATGCGAAATCAACGAGTTATTTTTGCATACTCAGGAACAGATGTGTTATTTTCAAGGGTTTTTGGAAGATTTTAGGGTGTAAAATGAAAAAAAATGTAAAAAAAACTCAAAACAAAGCAAAAAAACAAAGGAAAACCAAACATTGAAATACCCAAAATAAAATATAAAAAAATACAGTATCCAGAAGTCAAAATTAAGTCGAAATTCACCCGAAAATTTGACGAAATTCACCAAGAAATGGGAAAAATCACCAAAATCGAGTGAAAAATCGCAAAACCAAAGTTGACAAAGCAAAAGGACACATGTTACAGTAATTCCCACAGCACAAGCTTAATTTACAACCCTTCAAGCATGTTTAAATTCCATTTCCAAGCCACTAATCAGCTGAAAAAAGTACCCCAAGTGAGCGGGGCAGGGGGTGTTAGTCAATTTCTCGGCACGCCCTAACCTGAGCTGCGGCGTTCCTCCATCAGACGACGGATTCTTTCTTGTTCGGCCTCTTCTTGTTGGATATACTGGCGTCGGCGCTCGTTTTCGAGCGAGGCTACTAAACAAAGCTTTTCAAAATTTACTGTACCCAAAAATTATGTGATTTTCTTTGTTATCTAGCTATTACCTACGGAATTAGCGGTCAGAAATCAGTTGGAAGTGAAGTTCAGAGCTTTTCAGACCATTTGGGAACGAATTGGGTGAAAATCATGTTTTCGTGGCGGGACCATTTTGGTCCCACAGCGAAAACTTGATTAGTAGGAAATGAGGTCGAAAACGAGTTGAAAGTAAAGTTTAGAGTTTTTAAAGTGATATTATGATTATTTAAATTGAAATTTATGCATGGATCACACTTATATTACACTTGATGTTGAAGGACAAGACAAGCTCAACAAGTGTTTATAAAAGCCCCAAATATTGTCGGTAACGGGGAGCGTTGGGGAAAAAGACAATTGTGGAAACTGAAAAGTATTATTTCTCTTCGATGTATGACTTTTTTGATCATTACTATTTTCCTGAATTAGTACTGTAAAGTAATAACTTTCTGATTTTTTTCATGAATACTCGACTTTCGGGTATTCGATGGTGCTGATTTCGAAAATGAGAAGTACATTTACGAAAAAAAAATCAAAAAGTACTACTTCACAGTGCTACTTGAAGGAAAAATTAACGATCAAAAAACGATACATCGAAGAGAAATAATACTTTCCGGTTTCCCCAACTGTCTTTTTCCCCAATCGTCGCTCCCCATTACCGACTATATAATATTAGGGGCTTTTATAAAGACCTTATCTTATCCTTGAAGATCAAGTGTAATATAAGTGTGATCCATGCGTAAATCTCAATTTAAATAATCATAATACCACTTTACAAACTCTAGACTTCACTTTCAACTTGTTTCCGAACTCAATTCTCCCTAATCAAGTTTTCGCTGTGGGACCAAAATGGTCCCGCCACGAAAACATGATTTTCCCACAATTCGCTCGCAAATAGTTTAAAATGCTTCCCACAACGTTTTGAAATTCCAAAACACAATTCACTGCTACAATATCGACCACAAACCACCATAAAACGACAAAATATTCCAAGTTACCGTAACCAATTCTCGACAGATACCGAAAATTCAGGAATAGCTGGTGCAATTTTTCTCGTCCGCAACAAAACCTACATAGCATTCCCACTAAAATCACAAATAATTACAGGCGGCGGTTCCATCGGTCGGTATGAAATGCAAGCAAATTAATCAATAAATGGCGGCATACTGTAACAATAACCGGGTAAAGGTCCCATGAAGGGGGGCGCCAACTTCACTTCCATACCATTACAATATCAACACACTTTCAAAGTCTTCGACTTTTTCGAGATTCGGGGGGCATTTTTGGGATTTTCAAGTTTTCGCTGCGGGACCCAACGCGATCAAAAAAATTTCGGAAAAGACTGAAATTTTTTGCGGATACCGTTTTCACATCTCCTAAAAAGCTAAAATACGTTCACTTCCGCTGTTTCTGATATAAAAATTCGTCACTTTTTTGCTATATTATCCATGAGCTCTATGGAAAAAAAATCTCATCAAAAAATCCGATTTTCAAAAAAAAATCTCATAGAACTGCCTCCCATTCGCAAATCGCAGTACTCTGATCGCAGCCACTTACACATTTCCGTATTTTTCCTACGGCATTTCGGTAAATTTTTGGGATATTCTCCGGTGAGGAAGTTGCGAGTGGTGGTGGGGAAGAAGTTGCCGATTCTGTCCATGTTGTCCTGCCTGATCTGAAGGGCTTCCTTGATGAGCTTCGAGGCGACTTTTAAGTCCTCCAGGGGTACCTGAAACACTAGAATTTTGAAGAAATATCGCGATTTACGAAAAAATCTTTAAAATTTTCAAAATTTTCGGGGTTTCAGCGGGAAAATTCGGTTTTTTCGCAAATTTAGTAGCTCAAATTGTTAAAAAACTTTTCCATCAGCTTATAGAGAGCTTTCAAACACCTAAAAATGCCAAAAGTCTAAGGAAAATCAGCTAAATTTTTCTTGGAAGCAAAAAAATGTCAAAATTTCCCAAACTTTTAGCTTTAAAATAATTTTTCAAAAAATTTACTGCCTCTAAATGCCTAAAAAATTCTCTAAATACTTCACAACTCCCTGTAATTCCAATTCCAACCTACTCCGCTCAATTCTTCGCCAGTCAAGGCCATTCGTTGATAATTTACGTCGATGGCATCGCGGAAAGTGTGCATTTCCACCAGTTGCGGGGAGACCACGTCCCGTTCCGGCGGGAGGCCATTCGAGTCGCCCCAAGCGCCGACTTCCGCCGTCGGTTGAGGGGAATGGGAGAGATGGCGGTCGGGGGAGGGAAGCCCGTTACTTTCGAGGCGAGCTCTAAATTTTTTGAGTATTACGATTGAAAATTCCACTTTTTTTTATTCAGCACTCTCACTCATAACACACAGAGGGACAAACCAGCACAACAAGACCATTTTCAAGCCTTTCCGGGCATTTTTGGCAATTTTCAGGTTTTCGTGGTGGGACCCAAACTCATGTTTAAAAACCGCAAAAATTCTTGTCTATAAAGCTCTGACTGAATTCAATAACCAGCTGATCTTTTCCAAGCCTTTCCGGGCATTTTTGGCGATTTTGAGGTTTTCGTGGTGAGACCCAAACTCATCTTTAAAAACCGCAAAAATTCTTGTTTAAAAAGCTCTCACTGAATTCAATAACCAGCTGATCTTTGCCAAGCCATTCCGGGCATTTTTGGCAATTTTCAGGTTTTCGTGGTGGAACCCAAACTCAAGTTCAAAACCGCAAAAAAAAACTTGTCTATAAAGCTCTAACAGAATTCAATATCCAGCAAATCTTTTCCAAGCCTTTCCGGGCATTTTCGGCGATTTTCAGGTTTTCGTGGTGGGACCCAAACTCTTGTTCAAAAACCGCAAAAAATCTTGTCTAAAAAGCTCTGACTGAATTCACTATCCAACAAATCTTTTCCAAGCCTTTCCGGGCATTTTTGGCAATTTTCAGGTTTTCGTGGTGGGACCCAAACTCATGTTTAAAAACCAGTGAGAGCGTTTAAAAAGCTCTCACTGGAGACAGCATCCGTTAACAGAAGCATACTACTATCAGTTCTCAAAATCTTGCAGAAACTTTTATCTTTTTTATATTACTTTAGCCATTAACAGCCTTCAAAGTCGTTTTCATCCCACAATCCTCAAATTTAACTCTGTTCACACAAAAAAGTATAAAAAAAGTATATTCTACCCTACCTCGGCTCATAACATCCGTAATTCACTTGACTCAGCCGTTCCATTCTTTTGCTACGAACAAAACAATTTTAGACAATAATTTTTGGTCCGATCCTTATCTCGGCCGTTATCTTGCTTTCCCAGATTTCCAAACAAGCTTCGGAAAGCTGTTTAAAAACTCGGACACTTTTCGAAAGACCCGTCGGCGTCGGAAATAAACTTATCGGGCAAAAGCCGAAAGTCCGAAATTTGGAAGAAAGCAGCCGACTAAAATAAGGTCAGAACATGCTCCAAAAGCTTCCATACAACCTCTAGTGTCATAATCTTTTGCAAAAACCAGCAAACCTTCAATTTTACGCTATAACAATATAATTTTTGGAGGTTTAGAGCTCGAAAAGCCCGTAAACTTACCGGATAACGAGTGTTTCCATGTTTGGCGGGCTCATCTTGTAATAATACCTTCAAAAACAAGTTTACCTTCCTTCTCATTCAAAATATTTCAAAAAAATCTCGAAAAAGCGCCAAAAATCAATAAAACTCGAAATTTTTTTGTTATTTCTTCACAAAAAAATTTAAAAAATTGATATTATATCTTGCAGAAATATAGTAACAGCTATGGACTGCGTATTTTACCCTAAATCAAGCATCAAAACTCTAAATTCCATAAATTTTTACCTTATACTTGACAAATTTTAGCTAAAAACGTGCTTATTGTCCCAAAAAAGCATCACAACCTTTCTCAAGTCTGCAACAAAGCCTCTTACAACAAAATATGGCTTGTTTTCTTATCGAGTAAGCCTCTTTCTTGTTCCAAGAATTTCGCAAACTTCTCCAGACAGACGTCTTAATTCTCCAAGTCCCCGGTCCATTCCTTGACCTACGCCAAGCCCGTGATAAGTCGCGTCTTATCAGCGAGTCCACCTTTGCGTCTTAATCTGTATTGTTCGCAAAAAACTACATTGCAATATGTGCACTTCGGCTTATCAGCGCCGTAACGGATTGTGCAAAAAAGGAAGCTGTGGATAAAAAAATTGTAAAAAAATTGTAAAAACCGGCTTATCAGTTCGAATGTAGCATGACGCGGGACAAATTGCTGGCCGGGAGTGATAAATGGCGCAAAGATTGACAGGCCGTGGGATTGTTTGCATTATTTTGATATTGTACTTGGTCTGTCTCGTCACAAGTTTTTGATTTTTACAAAACATCAAAGATTGAGCAAGTTCTTATTAATTTTGATCTGCAATCGAATCAAAACGGTGAGATATGCACTTTGCCGACGAAGTTTCCGCAAACGCGAGAAGTCAAATTTGGTCTCGCAACGAAAATCAACATTCCCAAAAGGCATTTTCGGCAAATCCTCAAAAACACGTATTATATTTCCGAAGGGAGTCCGGTCAACAATTCGAGGCATTTCCCGACATTTTCGGTATATTTCAAGGTTTTCGCGGTGGGACCGGAGTTGGGTCTTGCAATCAAAACCTGAACTGACAAAAAAATAAATTTGGGTACCACCACGAAAACTTGAATCTTCCGAGATGCTGTTAAGTAGCTAAAAATGTTGCCTAGATGTTCTGCGCAGTGAAGGTAATAGTTTTGAGAAGCTCCCGCCCATTTTTTGCCAATTCTTTTTTTACAGTAGCGGACCTGATCCAGTGGCAAGAAAGGTACCATTTTGCATCCGGGAAGTACCAAAAACACAGCAAAATGCCTCCCTCTCCAACTAAAAAACTCTGTTTTGAAGAGCGCGCCCTTTCTTTCACAAAAAGAGCGCACTTTTGAAATCGAATTGTTTTGACTTGGAGAGGGAGGCATTTTGCTGTGTTTTTGGTACTTCCCAGATGCAAAATGGTACCTTTCCTGCCACTGGATCAGTTCCGCCACTGTAGAGATAGAACTGACAAAAATTGGGCGGGAACTTCTCAAAACCATTCCCTTCTCTGCGCAGAACATCTAGGCAACATTTTTAGCTACTTAACAGCATCTCGAAAGTTTCAACTTTTCGTGGTGGTACCCAAATTTATTTTTTTGTCAGTTCATGTTTTCGTTGTAAGACCCAACTCCGGTCCTACCGCGAAAGCCTTGAAATGTACCGAAAATGTCGGGAAATGCCTCGAATTGTTGGCCGGACTCCCTTCAGAACTATAATAAATGTTTTTGAGTTTCGAATTTATTAAAACTCTATATCCTATCACCTCAAATTATCTTCAGAACTTCCGCTATTGTCCCAAAGCCCAAAAAAATTCTTTTATCTCCCTCCCATCCCCCCCCCCCCTTACCCTATCTTATCCCCAAATTCATTTTTTCACTTTCACTTTTAAACGATGACGAAACCGTAGTCTGGATTGTGATTGCTTATCAGTACAAAGTTAATTAATTCTGATGCCTTATCTGTTCGTTTACCTGATCAATATTAAAAAACGGTCGTTTCGTGGAAAAACACGGGTTTTTACGGGTGCGATGCACTATGTAGACAGTGCATGTCATAAAAAATGAATGGGAGGTCTGATAGAGGACTCCAGGTGTCCGGTTATACGTGTTATCAGACTAGTTGCGATAATTTTAAAATCGATTTTTTTGGGAATTTGAAAAAAAATAATGGTTAAATTTTCAAATTACCCGTTTCTAATTGGCATATTCATTAAATTTCTGCCAAATATCGCCCTATTTTCCTCATTTTTTAGCAAAAATACACATTTTTACCTTCGAAGTTATGGTTAATCACTCCAAGAACAACCACGATTGTTATTCCACTTTTACAAAACTCTTTACGGACTCTACAAACACTCTCTGCACACTACACAGCAATACTCACTGTAGGGAAAAGCGGCGATTTGAGCGTGAGCACCTAAAAATCCGACGAGATTTTAGGGGATTCAGCAGAGGGATAAGCAGTTAGCAAGCACGCACAAAATTGCAGTCAGAACTCTGTATAACAAATTTTCAGACGTTAAGAAAAATTTTTATATAAAAATCTGCACTGTGCAAAAACGTAGGCTTTTTTCAATTAAAAATTTGCACTGTGCAAAACCATAGGCTTTTTTCAACTAAAAATCTGCACTGTGCAAAAACGTAGGCTTTTTTCAACTAAAAATTTGCACTGTGCAAAACCATAGGCTTTTTTCAACTAAAAATCTGCACAGTGCAAAAATCTAGGCTTTTTCAACTAAAAATCTGCACAGTGCAAAAAATCAAGGTATGCAAATTTCGTCATACAAGCTCTGACTGTTATCCCACACCCGTTTTCAAGGCCCACCTGTTGTCGATTTGGCGTTGGATTGCTTTTTTTGTTTCCTGAATTTCGATGGGATATTGTGGGCTCTCATATGGGGACGAAACCACGTGAGAATGGGCCGACTTATCTTCCAGGCCCGTTTTGAAAGGCGACGGATCAAAGATTTCGCTGTCTACTTGCTCTGAAAGGGAAAAGTTGAGATTTTTTTGTAAACGGCGAACAAAGAAAAAATAAAAAATCTCGAAATTTTTTGAAACCATACGATGTCGAGTTTTTCAAATTTTTTAGCGAAGAGAAAAATTGTACAGTGCAAAAAGATAGGTTTTTTCAACTAAAAAATCGCACTGTGCAAAACCGTAGGCTTTTTCCAACTAATAATTTGCACAGTGCAAAATCCTAGACTTTTCTCACCTAAAAAATCGCACTGTGCAAAACCATAGGCTTTTTTAAACTAAAAAATCGCACAGTGCAAAATCCTAGGCTTTTTTACACTAGCAAACCGCACCGTGCAAAGTTCTATTTAAAACTTGCTTACTCAAGGTCCAATTCTTCGAGTTCGGTAGCCTTGAAGAAATTTGTTGACGTTTCGCCTGTTCGGCGAGCCGTTCCACCTCTTGTTTTTCGGTTTCCGAGATGTCCGTGGAGTCCTCGTCCACTGAAGTGAAGAAATTTACGGACGGCGGGGTCCCAAAACAGCCATTGTGGTTTTTGCGGCCACTCATTTCGCTTTCTTCGGGTTGATTTTGCTGAAAATAGTCTTTAGAATCAATTTAAGGCAAAATAGAATTAAAAAAAACAAAAAAACACGAATATTTTTGCCTACTACAATATAAAAAATTCTCAATTTTCTAAAAAAAAACTTCAAAATTCTCCCAAAAGCTCATTGCAACTTCAATAACAGCCCAATTTTATTCATTTTCACCCCTTTTCATGCAATTTTTCAACTACTCCAATATTACACTAGGTCCGAAAAGCCCAGTTTCAGGTCCAAATCCCATTTCCCTTTCTTCAAAAATAATTTTTTCTGGTTTCTACATCTCTGCAAGCCCATAATCAGCAGTAATGAGTACTCTGGCCCACCAATTTTTCGCATTTTTTCACTTATTTACGAAGAACATTTCCGGCTACCCTGGCTTAATTATAAGCTCTTCACGGGGGGAACGTCACTCACGGAATGGGTCGGTAATTATTTCGGGGCCTTGGGGAGGGCACGAGGCCTGATAAGGCCCCGGGTTAACAACTTTTTCGGGGCTGGGAAGGCGAAAATGGGAAGAATTCGAAAAAACGCCAAAAAAGGGAGGGAAATAGTCGAATTTATGATGCAACTGATAGTTGAGGGGAGATAGGCCTGTTTAGAGGCGATAATCAGAGAAATTTTGTCGACTTGAGGGGGAAATCGTCAATAAATTGAAGTTTTTTCGTGAGAAAATCAAAAATCCCGAAAAAATCAAGTTTCTGGCCTTAATTTCGTACAAAATACGGTTTCAAATACCGTAATCCTCTCCAAAAATATGAAAAATATGTAAAGCAACAAGATTTCTGACAATTTTCACAATTTTTTTTTTTGTAAAAATCTCAAAAAACCAATTTTTGATGACTTTTAGCAGCTAAAATACAATTCCAGATATCATAATTTTTTCCCCAATATGGTGTATACGTTCTCCCACATTCAAAACACCCTCATTTTACCAAAAATTTCGACAAAATCCCCGAAAATACACTAAAAATCCCAAATTCTCCCAAAAAAATCTCAAAATTCGGTCAATTTTCCTAATCCACATGAGTCAAAAAAGTTTCAAAAGGCTGTAACACACACAAGGCTTCTTAATCTTTCCAAATTTCCGCCAAAAATGGGGAAAAAAGATTGGAATTTGGATTAATTCGAGCCTAATCCCTGCAAAAGCTAGACAAAACAAAATCCGAGCGCTTTATAACGTGAATTAAAAAATCGCAGAAGGTGATTTCAATTTTTAAAGATCAGCAAAAGGTCGAGGAGCAGCTGTGAGGAAAACATCTGCAAATTGATGGGTGTCACGGGCGTTTTGAACGGGATTTTTACGTAAAAAGGTCTTCTAAACTTGTCAGGTTTGGAAAAAAGTTGAGAAATCAAATATGAAAAAACTAGTGATGAATTATACCCAGTAAAAATAAAGGAAAATGAGACATTTCGAAAGCAAAATTTCCTAGTTTTCATAGATTTTGGCCACATTTTTTTTTACAGAACGTATACATAGCAGTTCCAAGAGTTAGGAATTCAGATTTTAAGATTTATCAATCAATTTACCATGTTTTAGTCCTGTTTTCCCGAAAAACTCTGAATTTTTGATTGTTTTTGCAAATTTGGTGCTAAATAAGGGTGTGTGAAAATTTATTTTGACTAATATATGCTCCATACGATCGTGCAGTGGTCTGACAAACCTTTCGGCGTGAAAATTCAACAAAAGTTTTATAAAATGACCTAAAATAAGGTCAAACCGTGGCTAAAATCTGGGAAGGCTACAATGGCGGACCTGATCTAGTGGCAAAAAACGTAGCATTTTGCATCCGGGAAGTATCAAAAATGTAGCAAAATACCTCCCTCTCCAAGTGAAAAAACTCCGATTTCAAAAGGGCGCCCGCTCTTTTAGTGAGGGAAAGGGTTTTTTCACTTGGAGAGGGAGGTATTTTGCTGCATTTTTGATAATTCCCAGATACAAAATGATACGTTTTTTTGCCACAGGATCAGGTCCGTCACTGCACCCTTCCCAGATTTTAGTCATGTTTTGACTTTATTTTAGGTCATTTTATAAAACTTTAGCTGAATTCTCACTCCGAAAGGTTAGTCAGACCAATGCACGATCGCATGGAGCATATATTAATCAAAATAAATTTTCACACGCCATAATTTAGCATCAAATCTGCGAAAACAATCACAAATTCAGGTTGTTTGGGCAAACAGGCCCAAAACAAGGTAAATTGATGGATAAATCTTAAAATCTCAATTCCTAACTCTTGGAACTGCTATTTATACGTTCTTTATAGCCTCTGTCGTCAATATAAACCCAACTTTTATTAAAAACTACACACATATTTAATTTTTTATGCGCATTTTTTAAATTTCAAGCCATTTTTGCCATAGATAAGGTCCAAATCATCTCCATAAGGTCCAAATTACCTCCCACCCAGTTATAAAACAATAACCCACCATTACTTTTTATTTATTTTGCTTGAAAGTGCAATTCAAACACCTCAAGACATGCGAATTTCCATTGCGAAACCCACGAAACGTCCCGAAAGTAAAAATGGAGATTAAAACGAGCAAATAAACTTATTGCCAAATCAAAGGGGCTTTTCGAACCTTCAATGACGCGTACCACTCGGGCCCGGCGGGGATCAAAAACGAGTGGCCGGAACCGGGTTATGAAACTCAGAGAGACCGAAAAGCTGAGCAAAGTCTAGAAAGAGTGGCCCCGAAACGTTCGGAACTTCCGGATTTAGGCTAAAATACGGTTTTAGATCATGATAAATTACAGTAGATACTGTTTGCGACAAAAAAGAAGTGTCGGTCAACCAAACAACAACAAAAAAACAGCTTATTTTAGCCATAAATAAAATGGAAAAAACACTTCAAGTTTTTTAAAATTTTGTTTTGGGGCAAAAGATAATTCGAACTTGTCGAAAATTGTAGCAGACATTCTTTCGAGGAAAATAACTCCATAAATAAGCAACAATAGCAAAAAATAGTCAACCATTTTTTTTATTTTTTTTATTTAAGCCATGAATAATATAAAAATTTCGTCACAACAGCGGGAAACTCTTCACAATTAATCATACTACTCCGTAGAATAATATAAGATCGTTTGAGGGCTCAATTTTCTACGAAATTTTTATAAATTCCCAAATTTCACTAAAACTTGTCAACTAATGTCATGGATAACATAAAAACACCTCTAGAACTACTATTAATCTACTCCAAACGTACCTCAGAAAACTTTACAGCGTCTTACCATCCTTAAACTACCCTTAAATCATCAAAAATCTGATTAAAATAACAATGTTTCCCACAAATCATCATAATTACTCCAAATGCGATCTTCTCCAGCCAACTTTCATCCTCAAATCTGTTTTGTAGCCTACCAGACCCTGAATAACATCTTTAGAGCCCATTATCGGGCCTCGTCCTCGTTAAAGAACCCCCACATTACAGGGTCTTTCGAAAATTTACAACCCCAAAGAAAGGAGATTAATAACAACTTTGGGGTGTTACGAACCTCGTCGAAAAACGACTAGCCGTCGCGTTGATAAGACTGATAGCGATGGAATTTTTGGCGGGACTGAATTGTGCAGCTTTTCGACCAAAAACCAAACGATTTAGGAGGAATCCGCATAAACAATGTTTTGTTAGCGGAAAATATTTTTGTGCTTAACATTGAGAAAGAGAACTTTCCTGTCGAACAACATGACATTTTAAACCGAAAAATGACAAAAAATCTCGAATTTTTGGCATTTTCAGGCGAAATCATTGCGATTTCTACAAAGCGCGATATGAAAATTGGGTCAAACAACAAGAATGCATCCGATAAACAATCTAATTTATGGGGAATCCATAAACACGTGATTTTTAAGCGGAAAATGGCCTTTGTGGTCTTAAATTTGGGAAGGGAAGTAGTCAGGTCGAGCAAGAAGCCATTATTTTATATTGGGAAATGGCAAAAAATATCGAATTTTTGGCATTTTTCGGGCACAGAATCTCTTTGATTTCCGCAAAGCGCGAACTAAAAATGGCGCAAATTTCCTGCGAGGAAATGGGTTGAACTCTTTGTGAGCTTTCAACACGAGAAACAAACAAAAATTCTGACAGAAGCAAAACTTGAAGCCGACTTTCTCTCTCCGCCGAATGGGACAAGAAACACAGAAAAAATCCCATCCAATTACAGTGGGGGACCTGATCCAGTGGCAAAAAACGTACATTTTACATCCGGGAAGTATCAAAAATTTGGCAAAATGCTTCCCTCTTCAAGTGAAAAAAGTTCGTTTTGAAGGGCGTGCCCTTTTTCCTCATCACAGAAAGAGCGGGCGCGGTTTTGAAAACTGAGTTTTTTTCACTTGGAGAGAGAGGTATTTTGCCACATTTTTTGATACTTCCTGGATGCAAAATGGTACGTTTTTTTGCCACTGGATCAGGTCCCCCACTGTAATTGAATGGGATTTTTTCGGTATTTCTTGTCCCATTCGGCAGAAAAAGAAAATCAGTTTCAAGTTTTGCTTCTATCAGAATTTTTGTTTGTTTCTGGTGTTGAAACCTCACAAACAGTTCAGCCCATTCCCTCGCAGGAAATTTGCGACATTTTTAGATCGCGCTTTGCAGAAACCAGAGCGATTCTGAGCCCGAAAAATGTCAAAAATTCGATATTTTTTGCCATTTTTCAATACAAAATAATGGCTTCTTGCTCGACCTGACCACTTCCCTTCCCAAATTTAAGGCCACAAAGGCCATTTTCCGCTCAAAAATCACATGTTTATGGATTCCCCATAAATTAGATTGTTTATCGGATGCATTGTTGTTTTTTTGGCCCATTTATTTCTCGTACGATCCTGTTTTCTTTAGATAATCATCACTTCTTTGCGGGGCTTCCGGAAGAATTATGGAACCTTGTAAATTCTTTTGGCCACAATAAGATTAAAGGTGCAAAAAAGCGTTTTTACAGATTCAAATAATAGCAAAAACATTGTAACTCAGGAGGTAAGAATGTTACAAGTGCCATTTTTTGTTCAATTACGCCCATGAGGAGGGATGGGAATGCGATTATCTATGGGCAAATCTCATTAGTTCAAAATTTCATCAAAAACAGAGTAATAAGGAAGAAAAGGTCTTAAGAATTGTAATTCTAAGCGTCCAGAGAAAGCAAAATATAATATTTTACATATTGGAAAACTTGAAACAGAAAAAAATCTTCAAAATTGCCCAAATTTTATATTAACCATCAAAAAATGGCCAAATTAGTATCCAAGGCTTATTTTTTCAAAAAAATTTTCAACTTTAGACAACCAGAATACCTAAAATACGACAGCACTGCCATTCCAAATCAAAAAATCCGCTAAAGCTACCAAAACTCGACCAAATTTTGCACTCTTCATCAAAGATCAGCTAAACTAATAAAAAATCCACAAAAAATATCTCAACTCCCCAAAATTCTAAACAAATATCAACCTGAGACCTCATGAACTCTGCGAGCCCTCGATACAAGGCATAATCACGGAGCAAGAGCACGGAAAACTCGGACAAAGCCCGAATCCAGGGCGAACAACCCAAGATTGGAAAAGAATAAGAAAAAAAGAGCGAAAAAGCCGGCTGTTCCGTCCCTGTTCTGGCCAAAAATGAGCGTCGAGTGCTTTTTCGTCGTATTCGAAAAATATCCAGCGGCCGCGGCACGTTTTCGGGGCTGCTTTCGCCGCACGTGCCCAAGAATAATGTGGATGAGGGGAACAATCGAGTTACCCGTGCAATTGCAGGCACTAGAAAGGACTTTCGGGAACGTGACGTAAATTGGAGCAAAGTTCAGGCAGGTTCACATAGCGCAATTTAGGGATACAAAATTGTTTGGCCAAAAACACAAGTTTCGAGTTCTGGAAGTAAAACCCCTCTGTTTTTTACAACATTTCCTGATGAAAACGTCCGTCTTGCCTTCGAAATTCCATAGAGCACCTAATCAGTCCATTCAGACCTTGTTTTAGGCCGAAAACAACACTCCCTTATATTACACTAGACATCAGACAAAAAAAATCAAACTCAACTTACTTCTGGGTTCCTTTGTGTTTCTGGACGGGTTTTATCGTCAGTGCTGCTGCTTGCGGCATTATTATCAAGTTTCATGCCTGAAAAACAAAGATAAAGTAAAAACAAAAAAGTGCAAAATTCATGTCTAAAATAATATAAAAACATGCGACAGACACTAAAATAAGCCGTATAAAGTAATAAAACACCTCTAACTCGGCCTCCACAAGCAATGGGAAGAGAATGAAACAAATTGTGTCAAAAGAAAGGCCAAATCCGGCCGAATGCATAAAATTTAACGTTTTCTTTGGGGTAATTATGGATAAAAAACGTAAATTCAAATCTTTGGCCAGAACTGCAAAAAATGCCCGCGGAAACCTGTCGTATATGTAACAGAGGTTGCAAAATAAAATTTCCGTCAATCTATATACATGTTTATTGGCGAATATTCACAAAAAATATCGATTATTCCGTGGTTTTGCTCTCCTCCTCCAGGCTGGATGGAACTTCTTGGGTGCGCTTCAGTTCTCGCTATAAATCGTGTATTACATTCTTGAAATCCCATAAGCAAAAAGAAAGGATTGATTTAGCAGTTTATATTATTATTAAAAGCTGTTTAATACAGTAAACTCGGGATAGAAGATCAATTCCGGATCACAGGAGTCAAGCGTATGGGCATCGGAACGTAATACCATTGGCTTAAATGAGGAGAACACGACAAAAAAATTGCGAAAATAAGTGAATTCGGGAGGAATTTTGGGCTTTGCACTCCGAATTTTTTTACCTTATTTTAGGCCAAAAAATGTCAAAATCTCAAAAAAATCTCGTCCAAAACCTTTCCAAAAAATTTTCAACTGCAAGTTCATAGCCCAATTCACTCTCATTTGGCATAAATTTTCGGGAAACCCAAAAAAATTTGCATATTTTGTACAAAAAATTGAAAAAAACTATAAAAAAACCAATTTCAGACTAGAAAAAAGCGATTTCTGGAAAGACCAGACGCCAACACAAAGTAAAAGCTGTTCATGGGGCATTTTAACATGCCCGAGAATATGCTGACAAAAAGCCAGCCCTCTGCCGACTGATCTACAAGCATAAAAAATCGAAGAAACGCCGGAAAATCGAGAGATTCTACGGAAAATCACGGGAAACTAGAAATTTCGTCGCAAAAATCGGCACCACTCGGCGCCGATTATTGCCAACGCTACTGCGGACACCAGAAGAGTGGAAACAATATTGCGAAAAGCGTTAAATGTCGCAAGAAGACTGTACATTGCGGAGTTGTTTCTCGGTGGTGAGGCATCGGGCCAACGGTTCGCAGAATCCGGGCAGGGTCTCCATTAGTGTGGGGTTGGCATTGGTCAGGAGAGGCTTCATGAAGCTGAAAATCACAGGATTAAACCATTTTTTATCACTTTTCTGAACTATATTACACTAGGTCATTTTCAATTTTTTTTGGTCCCACAGCGAAAACTTGGAGTCAAAATTGAAAAAAAATCAACAGGCTTCTTTTAAATTCTATATAGACCAATTTCAGTTCAAAACCTCATTTCTACAGCTCATTTTAATATTTTTGGGTCCCACCACGAAAACCCTGAAAATCAGGGAAAGTCCTCAAAATCGTTCAAAATCGCGTCTTGATGACAAATACAACAAAATAAATGCTATGTAAGCCCCATATTTCACTCAATCCACTTACACTGCATCGAAATTGTACCACTTTCTCGGCAAAAACGCCTTATCCCACGGATTCCTGCCCGACCTTCTCTGGTTGCCATTGAAGATGTTCATATCGTCGTCCTGATCGCTCTCCGGCACGGTTGGGGTCTGCGGTTGATTTTGGCCGTGTTTGATGCCCAGCCTTTCGATCATCCAGCCGGCCAGGCCTCCATTCACGAGGACCGTGAAGATGACCAGGATCGATGTCGTGGACTGCATGATCTGCCGATGTGCTGTGGCCGTGTTCCTTGACGCCAGAGCGAAGGGAACGGCGCCTCGGAGGCCGGCCCAGACGATCATGTGTTGGTGGTTTCGTTCGATTTTGGGCTTGCGTTTCATGTTCAGCACAGTGCAGAGGGGATAGACCCACAGGGCGCGCGAGAGTTGGGTGGCAATCTGGAAACCAGATATTGAAACAGAATATACGACAATGGAGATTATGTCTTAGGTAAAAATTCTCCACATAGACCTCAAATTTCAGGGTAAAAATGCAATTTTTTGACCTAAAGCAATATAAAAACTGCTCTAAAATTAATTTTTTCTCTAGTTTTTCAAAGGCTGTATGACTCTAGATACCTTGAAATACATGTAAAATCAATATCATTTTCTGAAAATCCCTTAAAATCAAGTAACCCCACTTTTTCCCAAAATATCATCAAAAAACACCTAAAATAATATAAAACCGGCTCTAAAAGCCCAATTTTCCGACATTTCTTAGGCCAATTATCTGCCTCATGCTCTATGCTTCATAATGAACCTATTCTAATTCCAAAATTCCATAGACACAAAGGTAATCCAACCTTTTTCCCAAAATTCCCCATAGACCATATAAACTAATATAAGACGCCTCGAAAAAGACGTCCTCAACCCAATCCAAGCGAGGTTGGACGATTGTGGAAAAAGACGATTGGGGAAAGGTATGATTGGGGAAACCGAAAAGTATTCTTTGATGCAAGTGTGAAATTAAAAATGAGTGTCATTTTCGAAATCAGCACCCTCGATTATCGTAACATACACTTGTATCGAACAAAAATAATACTTTTCGGTTTCCCCAATCGTACTTTCCCCCAATCGTCTTTTCCCACAATCGTCCAACTCCGCTTGGATTGGGTTGAGGACGTCTTTTTTGAGGCGTTTTATATTAGTTTAGATGGTCTATAGGAATTTTTGAAAAAAAAGTTGGATTACTTTAGTTCATATGGAATTTTGGAATTACAATAGCTTGATATGAAGTATAGAGCATGAGGCAGCTAGTCGGCTCAAGAAATGTCGGAAAATTAGGCTTTTAGAGGCAATTTTATATTATTTTAGGTGTTTTTTGATGATATTTTGAGAAAGAAGTGGGATTACTAAATTTTAAGGGATTTTCAGAAGATGATATTGATTTTACATGTTTCAAGGTGTTTTGAGTCATACAGCCTTGGAATAACAAAAAAAATCACTTTTAGAGCAATTTTTATATTGCTTTAGGTCAAAAAATTGCATTTTTACCCTGAAATTTGAGGTCGATGTGGAGCATTTTTGCCTAACTGCCTTCCAAATCAACTCACAATCGCGACAACCACAAAAATGATGCTCCATTCCGCCCTTGAAGTCGGCAGGGACACTCCAATGTACAAGAAAATGAAGCTTTCGGCCAGGAAAGAGATGGCTTCAAAGAACTGTTTGGTGCGTGCCTGCGACTCCTCCGACAAATTATTAAACGTATAATGGGCTTGACAGATTCCACAAAAGAGGACGGCCACAATTCCGGTGAAATGGACCACTTCGGCGAGTAAAAATGAGATGTAAGACACCAAAATAAAGAGGGCGCTCTCCAGTAAAGGGTGATCGTTGATGTCGGTGAATTTGGTGATCAACGCGTTCGTGCAGCCCACGAAGCAGCCCAGGAACAGCGAGCCGAAAAAGACGTAGCCGAACTCGGCGCACGCCGCGAAAAGATCGGACACGGCGAAGACGGCGGTGTGCGAGGTGAAATGGTCCACAATGCCGGACAAAACAATGGCCACAGCGTCGTTCAGCGCGCTCTCTCCGAACACCAGAGCATACAAATCAACATCCACATTCATTTCGGAGAAGACGGCGAGAACAGTGACTAAAAATTTAATTTTAGAAAAAGTATCAGTAAAAACGCAAATTTTTGTGAAAAAAAATCATTTTAAAAATATTTAAATACGCAAAAAGGCGCATTTCCTTCATCATGGACCAATATAAAATCAAAATTTGGGACTTCACGGCAAAAAATTATATTCACCATGGCAAGAGATTCAAAAAAAGTAAAATTTTATCGCCTAAACTACTATCAAACTCCGCCAAAAGAGCTCATCGGACATCACTCTGCTACTTATAACACCCTAGACCATCAAAGTTCCAATTTTCATCCAAATTTCCTTCAATGTCACCTAAACCAAGAAAAACTCAAAAAAAAAATGATAAACCCACCCGGATCAGTAGCCGAGATCACAGCTCCAAAGAAAAGAAGCTCAATAAACGTGAATCCAAGTCGGAACACCCATGAGAACATGAACATAATCAAGCTAAAAACAAAACATTACTTTTCCTCATGTGTAATATAAAACTGCTCATAAAAAAATGCAAATGAGCCTACGAAGTGAAGATGCTGGACAACGTGCAGCCAATGAAGACAAAGGACAGGATGGATCCAATATTCCGGAAGAAATGGCGTTTCTTCAAGCTGTAACCGGCGTTGAAAATCACCGGCGGGAGGAGAACATTGAAGAATATTTCGGGCGAGAATACTGTCTGAAATTTAAAAAGTTTGATGTCAAACTGTCATTTATTAGAAAGAGGAGGTCCTGAGCCTTCTCTTAAGCCCACCTTTCTCTCCATATGCCGCTCTTTCAGGTCCGTATCAGAGTAAAATCCAGCGGCCATCTCGTAATGAAAGTGCATGGTGTCATTCGAGTTTGGCTTGCTAACTTGAAGCCGTAAATAGTCGGGAGGCACATAAATATTGCTTCCATTCTGTGGACGGACCTCCAACGTCTGACTTTCGATGGTGCCGAACTCGGTGTAGCGCAGAATCAGGCCAAGAATTAGACCATAGATCAAGGTCACCCCACTTTCATGGAGAAATCGGATTTTATAATGTTTGAAGAACCATGCCGTGACCACAATTACCACAAACATGGCGGTAAACACCAGCATAATCATGGAATCGAGCTGATGTCGCATGTTCGCCCGCTGAAACATCAAATTTCAACGAAAAACATCTAATTTTATGTATAGATAATATTTTTTGACGATGATCCTTCATAATCCTCCTAAAATCCAGAAAAAACAATATCTCAATCTCATACCTTCTCGGTCTCAATCTCCAGATCATTTTCGTCCCGCATTGTCCTTGTAAAATGATGATACGACCCATCCGCCGGCTGCGTTCGCATCAAAAATATAAAAATGAACACGCCCAGAATCATTTTGCCTCCCTTTTTCGATTTTATTGACGTGCAAACATTAAAGCCTCTCCGCATGGAATAAATTATCCCTGATTTGTTTTCATGAAGCCTGGAAAATTGGAAAATTTATATTATACTTGGTCTTTATGTCTTTCGATCGAGCAATGGAATAATTCGATCCCTTTCTTCTTTTCAATACTCTTTATGGACTCTAAACTATGCAAATGAGGCAAAGAAGTGGGACGTACCTTGGGTTTCACGGAAATATTCGTCTTTCTCCGTCTTCTCCAAATTTTTGATGGCTCGTTCCGATAAAACGGTTATCAGCAGCTGAAATGGGAATCAAAATCATTTGTTTGGCACACAATCAGTTTCCTAACATCACGAGCAAAATACTCGAACGAAAATATTTGCCGAGTATCGAAAATAAAAAATAAACGAACAAAAAATTGTTTTTCAATCGAATTTTTGATGGTTTCCGGAAAAATCCCTCCGATTTGGAATGGAAAGCCTCGAAAATTCCATGGCTTTTATATTGCCGCAGCTGCGAACAACCATAACCTTCATGAATGTACTTATAATAATCCGATATACCACAATTAGCGCCGTCAAAATCCAATTTCAAGTTGTAAACCATCAATTTTGTGGGGAATTCTTGAAAGAATCCGGGTGGAAAAAATGCTGCGCGATTCTCTTCACTTCCAACTAGTTCGTTACCCCAGTTACAGTGTGGCTTATCTTTTAAAAATCGCACAACCATGGAATTACGCGAGATCCGCACAAAAAACCCGTCCAAAGTTCGTTCACCACACATTTCACAATTTTTGGTCCGAAAACACACACAAGTTCCACTTCCCAGCGCGTTTTTTCCCTCAGGGGTTTAGCGAGGGAAAACCTTTCATTTCGAACTCACATAGGCTTAACCGGCTCTCTTGGACAGTCAACATTGGCCGGATTCGTGGGTATTATTATACTACACTAGGCAAAAATGTGCCAATATAATCTGGGAAATAGTTTCCGTTTCGAGATAATGACTCAGGAGGAGTGAAAATCACGTGAACCTGCAAAATTTATGGCTTGGTCTTTAGAATATACCAAAAATTTATATTGTACTAGATGAAAAATATAAAAATTGCCCATAATCACGCCTTTCATAAACCAATTGCTCTACCAAGAACTTCATTCTGATGAAAACCGCTCTCTGATCGTCTCTGAATCACGATACACCTTATATTACTCATCAAATGAACCTTCAAACAATTGACGTCTACTATAATATTGTTTATCCTAAAGGCATTAATAAAAAAGTAAACAGGACAGAGACTAACAAGAACGTTGTGATATTTGCAATGTCTCCTGGCTGACTTATTTCAGGCCCTTCTCTTCACTTTCGAGTTCGGCGATTCTCTTCTTATGGCGTTCAATGACTTCGGAGTGGTTCTTGGCTTGTTGCTCGTGATGCTCGATCTCACGGGCAATTTGAGCCTTCAACTCCTTGAGCTGGGCTCGTTGCTGAAGTTGAACAAGTAATTTGGGTTTAAAAAGGAAGTGGAAATTTCTAGGTCAATTTTTCAATAGAACCTTTAATAATTTGTTCAGAAGATCTACAATTTAGGCCCATGAATTCTGAGCAATAGCTTCCAAAAAACTACGCAGAATCTGTTGAAAAAACACATAGTTTGATATTGTACTAGGTCAGCTAAAAATCTGGCCGGTAGTGCCATTAAACCCAAAGTCTTCGCGCTAGGAATGGTGTCAAAAGATGCGTCAGTAAATTCTGCAGCTGAAACAATTTCCACTTTTCCACATAACCTTTCCTAAAAATACCAAACAACCAAATCTTTCAACACCTACCAGTTTGTAGAAGTACTCCTCTTCTCGGGCAGCCTCGAGCTTTCCGAAAGCACCACCAGCATCACGAACTGACCCACCGGAGCCACCACCTCTTCCAGCTCCTGATCCTGGGTCACCCAAACCAGACGACACCATACGACGACTACAATTTCATCAATTATATTATCCATGGCGTAAATAAAAAACATTTGTGAAAAGGTTAGGGTCATATGATTTCTACATAAAAAAACAAGCTTTAACCTACCCAGTGAAGAAGGCTAGACGTTGCATACGCTGCATTTCGAAATAGGTTCAAACTGAAAGAGAAACAAGGTTTTCAAGATTTTGTAAACGAATAAATAGTCCGATAAAAGAAAAAAAATTAAGAAAAAGACCGTTCTCGAACTTTTAAGGACGGAACGTTGCAAATAAACAACAAGGAAGAACGTGCAAGGGACAAGAACAACATAAAACACAATGCCAATGGTTCTGTCACAGAAAATTGGCATTTCGGTTTTCGTGGTGGGACTCAGAACTGATATTGATGAATACGTAGATTCGCAAACTCTAAGCCCCAAAATAGAAAAACCGTGACCCACCAATACTCTAGACTTCTTCACAATGATTTCACCCCAAGAGGAAGATAAAAGCCACAGAAAACGCAAAATTTTATACATTTACAGTACCCGAATTTACAAAGAGCGGTTGTTACGGTATAAACAGCAATATGGACCTCGATTTTGGTATGTTAGCCGCAGAGCTTATGTAGCTACATTTTAGTTGCCACATTCTTGGTGTTTGTCTCAGGAGCGATGGCTTGCACCTTGATGTTGTGGTTTCAATGTGGCAAAAACGACCGAAAAATGGTGAAAGGAGATGCCGTAAAGTCGACAGTGCCTCCGACCGGTTTCAATGCTACGGGAAGCCAACGGCTGAAGGGAAAGGCGTTGACTAGAGATGAGTATGAAGAGAGTTTGCGAAAGAAAAAGCAGAGAAATGAAAAAGATGGACTTGGTGGGTAAGTTCAGGTCGTATCTCAGATTCGACTTGACTAATAGTATAATTGCTATGTACACTAGGCTTGTTATGAGTTTCTGTTCAATCTGACACCAAGACTGCATATATTTCAGCTCGAAAAGAGGCCATTCCACTCGCTCGAAGATCGGAGGAGTAGATCGTAGGAAGAAGATCAAAAAAGAGGGTGAGTCTCAAGAGAAAAGTAAAATTTAGCTGGGACACAAGGATAGGACCACTTTTTAGGTAACTCTTGTACTTCGAAGAGGCCACCGGCCTTATTAACCCTTACAGTGACGGACCTGATCCAGTGGCAAAAAACGTACCATTTCGCATCCGGGAAGTATCAAAAATGTGGCAAAATGCTTCCCTCTCCAAGTGAAAAAAAACTCCGATTTCAAAAAGCGCGCCTGGTCTTTTTGCGAGGGAAAGGCGCCCCCTTCAAAACGAAGTTCTTCACTTGGAGAGGGAAGCGTTTTGCCACATTTTTGATACTTCCCGGATGCAAAATGGTACGTTTTTGCCACTGGATCAGGTCCCCACTGTAGATGAAGACGACAAATAACTTTTTTCTTCTGCCCTTAATACATAGTTTTGCAGACCTTGAACAGACCCAGGAAGAATCTTCCAGACGCCGTCGTCAGTCTCAGGCTCCAAAGTTAACCAAAGAGGATAAAGAGAAGAAGGAATGGCAAGACTTCCTCAACCAAATGAACGACCATGAACCCAAGAAGAAGAACAGCGACATTTCCAACAAATCCCACAAACTTTCCAAACTCTCCAAAACATCGGTTGTTGACTCAAAGAAGTCGAAAAAACACTCTGACCGTTCAAAAGTTGACTCAAAGAAGTCGAAAAAACATTCTGACCGTTCAAAAGGTGATGGAACTTGCACTTGCGAAAAATCATCCTATTCAAACTTGTCGAAACGTAACAAACCTTGTCCCGTACATAAAGAGTCGAAAGAACATGTGAAAGATAAGTCAGATAAGTCGAAGAAGACCTCAAAAATCGACCCTAAACCGGAAGCACCCAAGAAAATAATCGTTGATGAAGAAAAGGGAAGAGCGGCCGAATGGGCGGCCTTTTCGAATTTGAACAAAGATGTGGATGGGAACGAGATCAAAGACGGATTAAAGAAAGAAGAACCGATGATAAAGGAGGTGGAAGCGAAGGAAGTCAAAAGAGATTCAAAGAAGGACTCCAAGAAGTCGAAAAAACTTTCGGGACGATCCATAAACGATGAAGTCAGAGGGGAAAAGAAAGGAGCAGACAAGAAGAGTTCATTGCGTTGTAAGTTCAATTTTTAACGGGCCGGCACAGCCAATCCAAGTTATTGCACAGTGCAGAGCCTCTGTTGACGCAAGCCTAGTGACGGACCTGATCCAGCTGCGAAAAACGTACCATTTTGCATCCGGAAAGAAACAAAAATGTGGCAAAATACCTCCCTTTCCAACCAAAAAAAAAACTCCGTTTTGAAGGGCGAGCTTTTGAAACCGGAGTTTTTTCTCATGGAGAGGGAGGTATGGTGCTGCATTTTTTGATACTTCCCGGATGCAAAATAGTACGTTTTCTGCCTGTGGATCAGATCCGCCACTGTATCTATGCACAGTGTAAAACTTTGGTTTAAAAATCCCAGTTTTTTTTTGATACCATAAAAAGACATTTTACTCCTTTTTTTAGCCTTCAAATCCGAAAAAACCCAATCCGACGCCGACAACAGCAAGAAGATGACAAAAATTACAGAAGAATGGAAACAACTAATGAACCCTCCCAAGGATGAAAGCAAGGAACACAGTAACAAAAATCCTAGCCATAAGCCGAAAAAGGAATCCAAAAAGGACGAAAAATCTCATAAAGACGATGAAGGCAAATCCAAATGTATATACAGGGTGTACCAAAAAAATGGAAACTTGTTTTTATAGCTATATTTTTTCGGAGAATCAAAATTCAGCAAAAGTAACGGTTATTATTGGTAACATAGAGCATTGTTTATAACATGTTCAACCTGTTTCACAGTGGCTGCCTTTGGTGGCGATATAGAGCTATAAACGTGACGTAAAATTTTGGGCTCCGGGCCGCAGCTTTTTAAGGGAGAAATCGGCCCCGTTCTTGGCGCAGCATTTACTTTGCGACCCCAAACTTTTGTGGAGCATAGTACAGGTGCTGGCCTTCTACTTAAAAAAAAATAGTCCATTGGATTCAGATCCGGCGAGCAGGCGGCCATTTCGCAGACGGGTTAAAATCGGGAAAATCGGTCCCATTTCGGGTCCTGAGTCGATTTTGCCCTGTGAGCCGGCGCTGAGTCCTGTTGGAACGCCAAGTTTGCATTGCCAAGGTTCTGCTGAGCTGACGGAAGCACGACAAAATAGAAATTAACGCGGCGCTAGTATTTTGCCCCATTGATTCACGAAAAACATGGATTTCTTGCCGCTGGCACAAATTCCGCCTTAAGCAATGACAGCCCGGAATTTGGCGGTATTCGACGATGGCCAACAGGCTAGGAGCTTCATTGAAGCAGATTCTATCGTTCTGGTGGTTATGTATCCGCCAAATATTGAACCGCGAACTGAATGCGCTCACGTCTCGGAGCTGCGGCCCGCCCCTTTGACTTTCCGACATTTTTGTACCGTACGCGCTTACTCTCGACTTTAAAGATCTGAATTTTTTAGAGCTTGTATGACATGAGATTGATCTCGTCTTTGGCTATTCGGCCGACTGATCGGTCGCTGATGTCAGTCTCAAGGGAAAGTTTTTCTTGAAAATCGCGGATTTTGCTGTTGGGGATCTTCCGGTTGAAAGAAGCGCTGGCGGTGCGTTTTCTTTCACTTCCTGAGCGCTTACTATCCGTATCAAGCTCCTTGCGCCGCGTGATTACTTTCGACACAACGTTCTTTCTATACCGAGCAAATTAACTGTTCGAACAGCTCCAAAAACAAGTCCAAAATCGAGGTCCCTTCGTTTTAAGTTCAGAAAAACAGGTCGATTAATCGATATGGGCATAAAAATCAAACCACTAGGACAGAAAAACACAGAGAATTTTGTAGTAATGAACTTCTTTGGCTACACCTAACCATTTTCGCGTCAGGACCCATGAAAAAAAGTTTCCATTTTTTTGGTACACCCTGTAAAAACTATCATAATTTATCAATTTATCATACAGTGCAGAAATGTAGGCATGTTTGTTTCCTATACTTCTGCACTGTATACTAACAAGGGGAGGGTCCCTGGGAGCAATTCCTATATAAATTTCGCACAGTGCAGAACTTTAGGCTAATTTACAGTGGCGGACCTGATCCAGTGGCAAAAACGGACCGTTTTGCATTCGGGAAGTACCAAAAATGCAGCAAAATACCTCCCCTCCAAGTGAAAAAACTCAGCTGGAGAGGGAGGTATTTTGCTGTATTTTTGACACTTCCCGGATGCAAAATGGTATGTTTTTTGCCACTGGATCAGGTCCGCCACTGTAAAATAGCCCATACTTCAGCACTATGCGAAATTTATATGGGAATTGCTCCCAGGGACCCTCCCTTTGCCTTTTCACCATGTATTTTTTATTCAAAATCTTAATGGAACCCGTTTCAGTGACCAATCTGCAGAACTCGATGAAAAAAAGTCAAACAAAATCAAAGAAGAATAAGAAAGATTCGACGAAGGAGAAGGAGAAAAAATCCAAGCAAGATTCGACGAAGGAGAAGGAAAAATCGACCAAATCAGCCGTAAAAAAGCCAAATTCCAAGGAGCAACTGAATAACGTGAGGAGAAAGCTGCGGAACAGCATCTACACGTCGACAGAAAAGACGAAAGCAAGTGATGAAAAGCAAACCCCAAAGGAAGAGTCGCACAAATCGAAGGTTTCTTCAGTGTAAGTGTTGTACAGTGGAGCCTGACCCAGGGGCAAAAAAATGTACCATTTTGCATCCGGGAAGTATCAAATGTGTAAAAACGCAGCAAAATACCTCCACTACGGTATTTTGTTGCGTTTTTGGTATTTCCCGGATGCAAAATGGTACATTTTTTTTGCCACTGGATCAGCTCTGTCACTGTAATATTGTTGATTTAAAAAAATCTATATCGATTTTTTCGATTAATATTGACGTCATGATTATTATTTTGGGCATTTCAATGCCAAAAATTCTTAATTCCAGATATGACTATTGTGTTTCAGCTACCATGCACCTTCACGAAGAAAAGATGCGGAAGCTGGAAGCGAAAAAAGCAAAGCAAAATCGGCGAAACCTAAGGGCAAAGCGTCAAAGAACAAAAAAGGACGCTAAACCAGAACAACTTGATTCTCTTACTCATAAATATTGCTCAATAAATAGATCAGACTCTAACTGATTCATTTGTAAACCCATCGAGACTTCATAACATTACTTTATTAACAAAAAAATAACCAAAACAAGATAAACATTAGTACCCTAGGACAAGATAAATAACAACAAAAGAGAAAAAAAAATAAAAAACATGAACCGGATTATTTTCCGCATATATGAAGCATAATATTCACAAAATATTATGTAATTATATGCAGATATAACATAAATATTACCCATTAGAATTGCACCTACTACAACATCAGAGAATGTTAGAGAACCGGGAGATGTCGTAAAGCGACAACAAAAATGTGGATTAAGTGATGTCGAGAGGGATTTTACATCGATATAAAGAGAAAATAGCAGAGAAATATGTGGATTTTGTTAAGATGTTACACTACTTTAAAATAGTATTGAAAATTTGAGAAAACTGCAAACAAATCGTTGAAATCGGCTAACATATGACATGGGATTCGAATGCAACCCCATAAGGGGTATTGATTTTGCCTTACAAGTCCACTCCATAGCTTTGCAGGAGATTTCCAAACTTTCTCGGACGTTTTTCGATGTTCTCCTTGACCAGTTCCTCCGTCGACTTCTCGTTCTCCTTCAGGCTTTCATCCAGGTTGGTGGTGTCGAAGGAGCTGCTGGGACCATCCTGGCTTGAGTGGACAAAGGCTGGAGGTGGGCGCGAAAAATCAAGGTTAGCCAATCTTGCCAGTTTCGCCTTTTCCTGTTTGGCTTTCTGCTCGGCTCGACATGGATTTGGGAGATCGCGAGGAACGGCCTTTGAGACTTGATGATCCGCAAAAAGTGGATTGGTTTGATGGACCTGATTGAAACAGAGTCGACAATAGTAGATCAGGCATTCTTTGGCGGTGCAGAACTCGGTCCTCAGCGAGCTGTTGCCACAGTTTTCGCATTCAATATTTTTGTAGACAAATGGCTTGAATTCCACCTAAAAATCAATCCAAAACAGGGAAAACTACTCACATAACTGACATTATAATGTCGATTCGGATACCATTGATGCTCCACATGGCCAGTCGAGGCACAAGCTCGATAACTATCGATGCTGCTGAAGATTACGCGAGCTGCGCCCTTGGGATAAGAAGATTCGAATTCCAGTTCCATGGAGCAATGAAGAACATTGCCGAATCGCGTCTGAACGAGTTCAAAGAGTTCCGAGGCCTTCAAGGTTCTTGGCAGACCACCAACAAAGACCGAGAGACGAACAAATCGACTCCAGTGCTCAGAAACAGTATACGTGGAATCCGCGAGTCTCCAAGGCCGAATTTGGACCTGAAAATGATCTTTTCATAGCGAAAAAGAAAGTTCAGTAAATTCAGAGGATCTCAACCAGCTAAATGAACCAATAAATTTAAAGTGAGAGGACTTTTTTACACAAAAATTATCTTATCCTTACCAAGTCCCTTCTCTTCCCCAAAGAGAAACAATATTTGCCATCACGGTAACCACAAGTGTTTAACAGTGCTCGGACAGCTTCATTGTGTCGGAATTGAACAAAACAGTAACCTAAAATAAGTCAAATTGAGCTTGATAATTATATTATCCATGACAAAAAAATCGACACTGGTTAAGAAAAATACATAAGACAGGAGTGGTAGGGCTCATAGAACCTAAAAATACAAAGTTCCTACAATCTACGTAAAAACTGGAGCAAAATTTATATTATCCATTACTATCTACATGAAAATGGTGAAATCCAAAAATCTAAAAGTCGGATGAATAAAAAACCAAGATTAAAATACTCAACACGTTTTCGTAGAACTATTCCACTAAACACGAATGATTACCTAAAGTTACATCACTAATATTATACATGGCTTACCATTTGGCGGCGAATCGCGAAAATTCTTTTTCCCTGGCCACGAGATGTCACACAAGTCGTAGACACCAAAGCATTGTCGAAGGAAGGCTTCAGTTGTCCCTAGTGGGATTCCACCGATAAAAACTTTGGTAGAGTAGCGATCAGCTAGTGCATCAATCCTGGAACCGTTCACAGAGGGCTCTAGAATAAGTTAAAGTCAAGGTGTTTTCAACTACTAGCATAAAAAAACACTAATCTTGCTGATAGAATGTGATTGAACAAAAATGGAGATCAAAAAACCCCGTGAAAGCTTCGATTTACCATAGTCCAAGATGGCGGTGTCGCCGGCCATGAACGAGTCCCGTTCTTGTTCGCTGGGAGCCCAAAAATTACTGTCCGCCTGCGAAAACAGGTCCATAGACATATTTTCCGTCTCGTTATAATGGAATTCGCTGCTCTAAACACAGAATCATAACAATATTTTATTGACCTACCTCCATGGTTAATATCAGAAATTTTTCTTCGAAAAGTTAAAAAAGCTGGCTTCGTTTTCGAACAGTAATGTAAAATACTGTCTGAAGATGGGGTTAGCTACAAATTGCAAGACTAATTGACGTATTTGTCCATCAAATTCTTCGAGAAAGAAAAATCGATCAATTTTTTGGAAAATCCTTTTTCGAACCAATTTTTCCCGCCAAAAATTTGGGTCCTGAAGCGATTGGCGGGACGAAACCTTCGCGATCCTTCGAAGGAATCTTGGTCGGACTGGAGGTTGTAGACTGCATTGAGTTGATTTCGAACGATTCTTCACCAAATTTTTGCTTTTATATTGTTCATGACGCATTCTTTCTCAATTCTCGGAAAATTACAACGCCCAAGAATTCCAATGGCGATGTTAAAACCAATTCTCACGGCCTCAAAGAAACAAGCTCGGCTTGGGGGTTCAGAAAATACGTAGTATGGCTATGCATCATATTGTAGTATGGAACTATGTATGTTGAATTGCTGAAGAAAGGGAAATCGACCACTTTTTGTAGGGTTCCCATTCTGTTCCGAAAATGTACCTACCCCGCACAAATTGTTGATCTCTAGGTTCTCGGAAGCGTTGCGTGAAAGCGAATACTGCCGTTCGAAAGAGCGCGTAAGAAAAGCTAATCGGGTGGGAAATCCGAAAGTTCAGCCCTATTCGACCGGTCGGTATAAGCTGAGGAAGTTTTTTTGCCGGGTAAAAGGTGTCTTCTGGCGATTTTTTGGTCAATTTGGCCTGTATTTTGAACAAAAAAGGTTTCCTCACAAGCGAATGGTCTGAACTTCCCCCAGCGTTAAGGAAAATGACTAGTACAGTTGGATAGAGCAGGTCGACTTTGGTAGAAAAAGGCAATTTCCAGCTGCAAAGTCCAAAGCCTTATCATAGCCACTCGCGCTGCCCCGGAATCGAACCAACCCCCAAAAGGATATCGAGCGGACGCTCTATCCACTCGACCAACCGAACCACTGGATGCACCTCTTCTTTTCCGAGGGAAAAGAAAGAGGAATTTTTTCTGAACTTTCGGTCGATTTTTCTCGTCGGCCGTGCTTATTTTGCAGCTGGAAATTGCCTTTTTCTGCCAAAGTCGACCTGCTCTATCCACCTGTGCTAGTCATTTTCCTTAGCGCTGGGGGAAGTTCAGACCATTCCCTTGTCAGCCTATATCATGTCGACTAGGGTTGGACTTTCGGATTTCCTACCCGGTTAGGTTTTCTTCCCCGCTCTTTCGAACGGCAGTATTCGCTTTTACGCAACGCTTCCGAGAACCTAGAGATCAACAATTTGTGCGGGGTAGGTAGAGTTTCGGACCGGAGTGTACACGCGGTTCTACTAGTCCGTTCGTAAAGTCTCTGGAATGTTTTCGGCAACATTCACCCCGCGAAATCGAAAGTTCAGTTTGCACTGTGCAAATTTTGGCTTTTTGCACAGTGCAATAGGCTTTTTTGGGCTGTCGCCCGCACCCTGAGTTTTCGTGCACAGTGCGCGTCGCCGAAATCATTCCAGCGACTTTACGAACGGTCTAGTACTAGTCGTTCCAAAAAGTGTGTAGACTTTTTGAACGACTCGTAGGACCTTTTTCGCACCACACAGTGCGTTTTTTTCGTTAGCTCATACCGACTGAAGTTGAACTTTCGGATCCCCTACTCTAATAGGCCTTCCTACACGCTCTTTCCAACGGTAATATGGGTAGGTGGGCTTTCGGAAGGGAGTCTATCTGCTCCCAGGAAGTTGTCGGGTTTATTATTATTTATCGGGGGTTCGGGAAGTTTCTGAACGTCAATGATCATAGATGAAGCTACTATTCCTGGCTATGATTTAGTCGATTTGTCGTTTCGTCAAAAATTGGACCTTGGGGAAAAATCTTTGGCTGTTTTGCCCTTGGCTAGCCGAAAAAAGGAAATAATGTTTATTTTGTTTTAACAGCAACTTTTTTGAATACGGGCTCATATTGTTTTCGCAAATTGCAAGATTTCCGTTGAGGTTTCCCTAAATTTTTGCACAGTGCAATTTTGCAGTTGCAAAAAGCCTATGTTTTTGCACTGTGCTAAAAAGTCACAAATTAGTATTTTTTCATGTTTCAGCCACTTTTTTATCGATTTTACCTTCTCATTGCACGAGTAGACGAGTTTGCTCACAAAAAACAGCAAATATTCTATTGATTTTTCTTGGAAAGTTTGTGTTTTCCAAACTATTTTCCACGATGAAAATGACACATGGTATTTTTTTGTTTTTGTGTTCTAATGAACAAAATACAATGCACATTGCTACTACCCTCCGCATAATTTCCAAAATTTTCGCAATTTTCATAGGCCAAAAAACCAATTTCCGGTCTGCGGTTCCCACAAGCTACCGTAGGCGGTATTGTTCTATATTTATTCTGGAAATGTAGTTTTGACCGCCTCGAAACTACAATTGGACGTTAGTGATTACAATTTTTATATTACACTTGGTGCTCTAGTATAATATAAACCTAGCCGTCTGCTCACTAACAGATCTCTGAGCGGCTATTTTTACTAGTCGTGGGATCACATGAGCCCTGCTCATTAGTGTGTACTTGGCCTCAGGATTTCTCATCATGGGCATGAGACAGTTTCCTCTTGCTGTGGGGCTTGTTCATGACATATTTCGCCATAATTGATATGGTAATAGTGTGATTGTCTGCTGTTTTGCGCCTCGACAGACAGCTGACGCCACTTTGGAGGGCTGAGATTGTGTTTTGTTGACCTAAAGCTGTTCAAAAATGGGGACAAAATCGTTACATTAGACAGTTGGTTATTTTTTTTTGTTGACACCGTAACCTTTATTTTCAACAAAAACTAGAATGTTGACTCGTTAAGTGACGCTTGGATTAGATTGCCCTTTTCCGACGTGTGGCGGTCATGGAAATTCATGCAGTTTTGTAGAGTAAATTTGCTTGTATGTCTGCACTGCGCGAATTTTACATGTGAGTGCTATACGAGTGGGACGCCTAGGTCTTGACGAAAATTGGTGCTATTCTAGAATCTCTTTTTTTAAAGTCGCGCGTTGCAGAAACAACGAAGATTTTTAAGTCGAAAGTCGGCAGAGATGTGGGATTTTTTTGCGATTTTTGGCGTAAAAAGTTTCATACTGTTTTCTACTGTAAAGATTATTTTTCTGTCACTCTGTCGGGAAAGTAATGTGGGTTTGTCGCAGCAAAGTGTCTCGCCTCGTCACAGTCAAAATCTCGCTAACCGTTGCAATGCGTCGATTGGCGATTCCAAGGCTCGCCGAATCCACATTATTTTCCCGACGGGCTGATATAAAATTGGGTAACTACTGCGACAAAAAATTTCGTCTTGAAATTCTTTTTTTCCTATATTGATGCTGGTCATCATTTCCGTCCAATAAAATCTACGGGGGTGTTACTTTCAACAAGCGATGATTAGCAGCTGTAAATCTGTGATTAGAAACACCCTCTGCACGATTACTCACCTTACCTTATTATTCTAATTTTCAATTCATACAAGTTTAACACCACTGGCACAATTTTATTCTACTGTGAAATCACCAGGTGTACAAGCGTTTACTCACGAAGGATAATAGAGTTAGTTTAACCATAAAACTTCTCATGCCGGGCCATACCGGGGCTGTTTTCCGTATTCTCACTCAATACCTAATGTTTACTACTCGGGGCATAGTGAATTTTGACCCAAGAAACTGGTGTTTTCGATGAGTATTGTATACGGGGATCGTTTATATTGACAGATTTTTTGCGCAAAAATTTATCAGGACTTTTTGTCTCGGGTAGTATCAGTCTGTCGGGAAAATAATGATTACAGTGTTGCTGCGACCATCGCGTCGCTGAAGCGAAAAAAATTTCATTTTGTCGCGGCGCTATTCATTCTCTAGACGACGATGCGATTCTCGATGCGGCAGAGCGCTCACTATTTTCCCGACAGCCTGATATGTGATGTTTGGGACTCTGTGTTTAATTATTTACGGTTTTGTATTTCTGGCGCTATATAATGGGGGAGTTAGTGGCAAAAAACAACCTGTTTTCGTGAATTTTTTTGTCAGGTTGATAGAAAATTATATTATTATACATAGTATATAAAAGTTTTGCTTTTATGGAGAAAGGGCTTATAGGCAGAGTGATTGAGGTGACTTTAGGCATATGCCAATAGATTACGCAGTAGTTCTGTTATTTGTTTGTTTCTGTGAACCAAATGCTGAAATCGTATGTTTTCGTTATGTTGGAGTCTTGCACAGTGCAAAATTCTAGGCTATTTTGCATTATGAAATTGCACTGTGCAAAACCATAGGCTTTTTCTATCTAAAAACTGCACTGTGCAAAAAAGTAAGCTTTTTTTAATTACAAAACGGCACAGTACAGAAAATTTAAAACGTTTTTAAGATACAGCGAGAAAATTATGAGTAAACTGGCAAATATTTGTCCTTTTATATTTTTTAAGTTAGCTTTTTCTAACTAAAAACTGCACTGTGCAAAAACGTAAGCTTTTTTGAACTAAAGATTTGCACAGTGCAGAAATCTAGGCTTTTTTAAACTAAAAAATTGCACTGTGCAAAAATCAAGATTTTTTTTTCAAAACTAAAATTACACAAAACTGCGCTTACAATGCTCACCAAGAACAAAAAAAACTACGTTTTTTTTCTAAAAATACTCTCCATTATCCATAGAAATTTCCCGATAAACAATTATATTTCCCAAGGTACTTGCTTACAAAACATCATAAGAGTGTCACACGTGGTATTTTCGGGTGCTAAAATACGATTAGGCCCTAAAATAGTCGGAAATTACTCTTTTATTAAGTCAATTTCCTTAGGTTACAAGTTTTTGAGCAATTTTTCGATCTTAACATTGGATTCGCGAATATGTCGTAGTGAAGGGAATTGTATGTACAGGGATTGGAGAACAAATTTGGAGTGTTTTTGTCTATGTTTCGAGGAATTAAAAGTTGTTTTTTGGATGTTTTTAAAGTCTCATCTTATTTTCGCACAGTGCAATTTATTAGTTGAAAAAAGCCTACGGTTTTGCACTGTGCAAATTTTTAGTTGAAAAAAGCCTACGGCTTTGCACAGTGCGATTTTTTAGAATCCCAATTTTTTGTTTTGCGCAGAATTCTGAATAGAGAACGACCTATACTGCGCGGTTTCCGAGCTAAAAAGCGGCCTAAAATTTCTGTGTGACCCATTACTTTATACATATGTAATCTTCGCGCTCTACAGCCCACACTTTATTCACATTACCTTTTTTATGGCCAAGAAAATCTCCCATTACTCACGTTTTAAGGCTGTCACCGGTAATGAGTAATCTAATTAATTCTCGCCAACCTTGCTGTTAAACATTACCGTATATGGGTTGGTCGGTTTTATTTTCCCACAGTCTTAATGGAAAAAATTTCTATCCGAAACTGGCACAGGCCTGTTTCGGGCTTTGTAGGCTTGAATAATGTTTATAAAATGACAAATATTTGTCAGTTTTTCCCTCTGTATTTTTGAAATTTTTAGATTTTTTTGCACTGTGCAGTTTTGTAATTGAAAAAAGCCTATGTTTTTGCACAGTGCAATTTTATAGTTGAAAAAAGCCTATATTTTTGCACTGTATGAAAAAGTCAGAATTTTTTTTTCGTATTTTAGCCGATTTTTTATCGCTATTACTATCTCGTTCTACGACCATACTTATTATTTGTATTCTTTACTCTCCGAAAAAGCATAACATTATTTTTGCTACAAAAAAATACATTCAAATTGTTTCAACGAAAATTTCTTGCTCCTTTAGCTTCAAACTTTGGCCTTGAACTCTACATATAATACATTAGTTTCATACAAATACATGTCATAAGAAAATCCGACCCTTTCCCTTTGTTACGCGCTCAATTTTCCTTGCGGTTTAGCATTCGAAAATTGTACTCATATTTTTGGCACAGTACAAGCTTGAGCACAACCGTGAATTTTGTACTGCGCACTTTCTATGTCAGCGTCGGAAATGCCTACATTTTTTATACAGCTCACTATTGTTCAGTGGAAAAGGCTTGTTTGTTTTTGTCATTGGCTGGCTTTCAAATTCATGCGGGAAGTACTACAAGTGCGACGCTTGGATTTTAATGAGTTTTGACGCATAATTAGAATAATTTTTTTTCTAATACATATACTTGGCTTCTGTCTGACGTTTCGCAAAAATGACCAAAAAATTCGAAAATTTTAGACCAAAAATTTCGAAAAATACGGCACTTTTTTGCAAATTTTGCCATGAAAAGTTTTGTGGCTATTTATACTGTACATATAGGGTAATGTTTCCACAAAAAATCAATTTTTTCCGCGCGAAACTGGCAAAGATATAGCCAAAAAATCTTTTCTCTCTGTCTCTCCGCGTCTCTCGTACTCTCTCGGCCGCAAAGATCGTTGAATTTCTCGGCTGTCCCGGCAAAGCCCGAGCTAAAACTTTCAGGAGTTACTAAGTGGCCTATGCTAAAAATAAAAGTTATAAAAAAAATCTGAGTGTTCCACTTGGAGTACTTCCTTTGTCATTTGCGAATCTTTTTCTCTCTTTTTTCTTACGTATTGTTGCAAAATTTCTTGTAGTTTCTCGAAAATTTCAAGTGTCAAGAACGACTAATTGAGTTTATTCAATTCTAAATACATCGGTGTTTGAGAGCTGATCCACGGTTTGCAGAGGTCTAGTTTCAGAAACTTTATTGAATTAGATCGGCTCTAACTTGTTTATTTTTCTCTTTCTTTTACCGTAAATATTTTTGGTGAAAGTGTTGCACATATTTCACCTAATTTTAGAGCAAACATTTACGTTGCTTTACGTCATTGCAATTTTTGGGAAAAGGGATGAATTGCCGTACAATAAAAAATTCACTATAATTAGAGGCTTCTGAAAGGCAGAAGTGAAGGCTGGCGCAAAATTAGAGCATTACCTTCGAAGGTAAGGCTCTAATTTTGTATATATGCGTTTTCTAGCATATACAAAACCTCTTCACCTGAAACCCCCGAGATTTTTTTTGATCCGAAGCTGTTGAAATTTTGGTTTTGCAGTGGCGAACTTGATCCAGTGGCAACAAACGTACCATTTGGCACCGGGAAGTATCAAAAATGTAGCAAAATACCTCCCTCCAGATAATACCTATGGACTTCGTTTTTGGCGCAAGTTTTCGTCTTTCCTATGTTGTAATGCAATGACGGACCCGATCAGGTGGCAAAAAACGTACCATTTTGCATCCGGGAAGCATCAAAAATATGGCAAAATGCTTCCCTCTCCAAGTGAAAATACCGTTTTGAAGCCTTTCCCTCACAGAAAGGGCATGTGCGATTTTGAAATCGGAGTTCTTTCACTTGGAGAGGGAAGCATATGTCACATTTTTGATGCTTCCCGGATGCGAAATGGTACGTTTTTTACCACGGATCAGGTCCCCCACTGCAACTTAGGATAAAGTGAACTAAGGCTAGTAATTGCTGAAATGAGATGAAGTCATCATATTGTAAGTCTTCGCCGAGCCTCCGCCGAGGGTCCGAGGGGCCTTCAACGGGTTTGCCAAGCCTCTGACGGCCTTCTTTTCTAATTTTTGCGCCCTTTCCAACCTACAAACCTCCTCATTTATCTTGATTTTGCCTTTGTACTCCCTTCCACGAACTTTTCTTCGTAGTTTACCCGCTAAATGCGACCCTGGCCTATGCTCTTACCTACATAGGACAATCGTTCTCTTGTACTCTTCAGCATTATCGCCGCGATTCTGCAAGGGTCCATGGGAATTTCACTCGTCTGGTTCAAAATTATTATTCTACCACGTTATTTGATTATTTTGGGTACAGAGAAAGCCTGTTATTTTGGCGACTAGACTAAAGATTTATAGTTTTTGTAATAAAGAAGAATGAATAACAAAGCTGTTTGATTGGGTAGGTGGGAAATTACGTAATTTTGCATACATATAAAATTAGTTTATTTTTGCATATTAAATTTTTTTACACAGAGTACGTCAAAAGAATTATTCAATTTCGCACGGTGCAAGTTCATAGTTGAAAAAAGCCTAGTGCAATTTTTATAAATCAAAAAAGGCCTATGCTATTGCGCAGTGCAATTTCACAGTTGAAAAAAGCCTACAATTTTGCACAGTGCAGAAATAAAAAAAATGTTTCCGCAAAGAATTCTCTTTGCTCAGCAAAGAAAATCACTAAATCCCCCGAGGCAAATTAGCGTGATATAACTAAATTTAGTTGCTTTTAACTGCTACTCCACTTTTTCAAAAGTCCGTAGTTTTTTTATCGCCGGCTGTTCTGCACTGTGCATATGAGCTTTTACACAGTGCTGTAAATGGTTAGACACTTTATTAACTTGAATATATGATATGTAAGTAATTGAATGCGCCTTATATAGCTCCACTTGTGCCCTCTTATCACGAACAGATTGACACCTGTGTGGCTTAAAATAGTACAAGTTCCTTGGCCACTGAATCGAATATTGCTATCCATTCCTTTGCCGCTTTGACTGCGTCTTCGTAGCCTTTTTCTGTGCCACTTCCCTTGAGTTTCTCTTCGAGCTGCGCTTTCCCATCCTCTTTGTCTGGACTGGCTTCGATCTGATCTCTTTTTGTCTGCAACTCCTCTTCATATTCCTTCACGGCACTGGTCAGCGCTTCTTGAATATCCTCTAGCTTCTTCCTGAGTTCCACCGGGTCTTCCTGCACTTGCGCATCTGCTCTTCCCGTTTTCTGAACCGATAATTCGACGTCTGCGGCTGACTCCACTAGCCTTTTGATTTTGATGACCAATTGGCCTAACCTCTGAAGTCCTAAGGCCATTATGGTCAATGCACCATGTGAATGGTTAGACACTTTATTAACTTGAATATATGATATGATATGTAAGTAATTGAATGCGCCTTATATAGCGCTCTTTTGTTCTACTTGTGCCCTCTTATCACGAACAGATTGGCACCTGTTCGCGATAAGAGGGCGGTGGCGCCGTCTTATCGCCCTTATCGCGTCGCGACAATGCAATCGGCATATCAACTAGGCGAAGGCTCGAAAAGAGCCGCACAGTGCGAAAAAAGAAGCAAAACTCACTGTGCGCCGCACCGCACGTCAAACTGAGGTAAGCTAAAACAATCCTTTGTATGGATTGGTAATTTGCCAAAAAAAAGACGCGAAAAAACGTTTTGTCGGGGAAGAAATGGGGAAATTTTGGGGCGAGAGAGTACGCTTTTGCGTGTCTTTTTTCTCTCATTCTCTGCAAAATCAAGACGAAGTGTAAAAAACGGATAGCGAAGAGTCTATTCCGGTCACCGGACTCCTCAGTTTGACATGCACCATGCACAAAACCCTTTTGCGGGGTGCATTTGACGTTTTGTGCACGGTGCGGCCCACGACAAAAGTCTACGCACCTTCTAGAACGACTAGCTCATTAGTTCAGAGGTTCAACAAACTTTGTTTGCTACGTGAATCTCCGAGCCGGTTTCGGAACCCATTAATTGGGGCTTACAATTGCGTTTAGCGGCCGTTATTACATGTAACCATGGGGATTATGTTTCGGATTCGCGGAATTTTGTTTCGCTCCAATAATCGAAATCGGGAAGCGGTGGTGGGAACACGGTAAATGAGTGGTAATTATTGGCAAAGTAATAGGATTTTTTTTGTTTTACTTGTTCTCGGCGAATAGTGGAATTGGCGGAGCTTTGATCGGAGTACAAATTTTGTAAGGATAGGTGGGTTTATGGGAGAATTACAGTGGGGGGAGAAACTTGAATTAAAAAAATCATATTTTTTAAGACTACAGTGGCTGACCTGATCCAGTGGCAAAAAACGTAGCATTTCGCATCCCGGAAGTATCAAAAATGCGGCAAAATGCTTCCCTCTCAAAGTGAAAAGACTCCGATTTAAAAAGCGCGCCCGCTCATTTTATGAGGGAAAGGGCGCGCCATTCAAAACGAAGTTTTTTTTACCTGGAGAGAGAAGCATTTTGCCACATTTTCGATATTTCCCGGATGCAAAATGGTATGTTTTTTGCCACACTGTAAGGTTTTTTTAAAACTATCCTGGGTCCTAGGATAACATACCACCTTTTGAGGCATTTTCTATGTACTAGTCGCGCCATAAAGTCCTGACACATTTTGCACCGTGCGAAAGTTCGGGATTTGGACGTCGCGCCCCCAAATTCGGGTTTGTCGCGCGCGAAAGTGCACGTCGCTAGCGCAAAAACGGGAAATCGCGGCGACAAATGCGAAATGAATGAAGAATGCACGGTGCGAAAGTTCGGGTTTTGCAAGTCGCTAGTGCAAAAAGGGGAAATCGCGGCGACAAATGCGAAAAGATGCACAGTGCGGATGAAATGAAAGAAGAATGCACGGTGCAAAATGAATTTGGGGGCGCGACGTCCAAACCCCGAACTTTCGCACGGTGCAAAATGTGTCAGGACTTTATGTCGCGACTAGTACTAGTCGCGGCAAAAAGTCCTTAGAATTTTCTGCGACTCCGCACTGTGCATTCACCCGAAAACACATTTTGCACTGTGCAATTTTGTTGATTTTGCCTTATTGTCGCGCGCGATTGAATTCCATCGATTGCGACCCCGCATCGATTGCGACCCAGCATCGATTGCGACCCCGCATCGATTGCGACCCAAAATGGGGTAAAGCGACCCCGGGATGAAAATTCCTTGATTCTCTTCGGGAAAAACTTGCTTTAGGGGTTTTCGAGGGTGCTGATTTCGAAAATGATGTTCATTTTTCCTCTAGTACTACATAGTGCTGTCTGATACTATATACTACGAAGTGAAAATATCGCTTTTGACGTTAAATACTCGATTTAGGGGTTTTCGAGGGTGCTGATTTCGAAAATGATGTTCATTTTCCTCTAGTACTACATAGTACTGTCTGATACTATATAGTACGAAGTAAAAATAGGCTTACTAAGCACCAGAACAACACCACGAACGCCTAAAGGCCAACTTTACACCTCGTACTACATAGTATCAGATAGTACTATATAGCACCAAGTCTTTAAAACGTGTTTTTGAAGAGTACTAAGCATCAAACCAACACCATTAACGTCAAAAGCCATATTTTCACTTCGTACTATATAGTATCAGACAGTACTATATAGCACCAAGTCTTTAAAACGTGTTTTTGAAGAGTACTAAGCATCAAACCAACACCATTAACGTCAAAAGCCATATTATGACTTCGTACTATATAGTATCAGACAGTACTATATAGCACCAAGTCTTTAAAACGTGTTTTTGAAGAGTACTAAGCATCAAACCAACACCATTAACGTCAAAAGCCATATTTTGACTTCGTACTATATAGTATCAGACAGTACTATGTAGTACTAGAGGAAAATGAACATCATTTTCGAAATCAGCACCCTCGAAAACCCCTAAATCGAGTATTTAACGTCAAAAGCGATATTTTCACTTCGTACTATATAGTATCAGACAGCACTATGTAGTACTAGAGGTAAAATGAACATCATTTTCGAAATCAGCACCCTCGAAAACCCCTAAAGCAAGTTTTTCCCGAAGAGAATCAAGGAATTTTCATCCCGGGGTCGCTTTACCCCATTTTGGGTCGCAATCGATGCGGGGTCGCAATCGATGCGAGGTCGCAATCGAGCGGGGTCGCAATCGAAGGATTCCCGCGCGATTCCCGTTTTTCGCAGCGACAAATCAACATTTAGGAGCGAGACGGAATTTGGGGGCCGCGAAAAATTCTAAGGACTTTTTGCCGCGACTAGTACTCACATCAATAATATCTAGATAAAAGTGACGGAAATTCGTTTCTTGCCGCAGATTTTGTTCTTGTATTTTTTACAATAACTCATAATAAGGAAAACTAACGTTAGCAATAGCTAAAATTACAAAAAATTCACATATTGCAAGCCTCCGCCGAGCGTCCGCCGACCATCCAACGGCTTTCCCAGACCCATAGCCTCTTCCTACAACCTGTTTTTTTGGTATCCACCTGCCCTACTCTTCGTACCGATCGAATTTCTGTTGACCCGAACTATCGAAAAGTCGGGGTTAAAATTTTTTTCATAGCCAAATTCACTCTGTTTTCTATGTGTGCGTGAAAAAAACTGCCTGTGTCAGAACGAAACATCCCAAGGGGCCCAAGGGGGTTTTAATCAAGGCTTTTATAATTATTGTTCCGTACTTTTGTTGGCCACAAACTACTACGAAATAAGTTGATCCCGACAACACCGCTCAACTTTTATGGGGGGAACGGAAGTTATTATTCTCTCCTTTTTAGTGGCTCTATGACCTAATAGCGAGCCCTGAACGGACCCGCTTACCTACATGGATCCCCAAGCCAAGGGGACCTATATATGTCAAACCTTATTCTTCCCGCTGAAGGGCGCTACTGTTTGTTTTTTTTTCGGGGTACCCCATAAGCCTTGTGTATTTTCGGGGTTGTGATTTCAAGCCTCATTATTAACGGACCTAAATGACTGTTCCCCTTAATGTTGGGTACTACTGAAGCCGTAATCTCTGATACCTCTAAACGGCATATAACTGCAAAACTAACGGCGAGCCCTCCGGGCAGATAATGAACTCTATTTAATATCATCCACTTCTGAGGCTATCCGCAAAAACAATCCCGTCTTCTGGTTGGCGCTCTTTTATCCTTACAATTACGATTTTTTAATACGTCTACTGAGTACACTGTTTTAAAAAAGCTATGTCTTGAATCAATACGTACAACGCTATTCTTCAGACTTTTTGTATCAGGCGTCATGATGAATAATATTTATATCATTATGTACAAGACCAGATCCAGTGGGAAAAAACGTACCATTCTGCATCCGGGAAGTATCAAAAATGTGGCAAAATGCTTCCCCCTCAAAGTGAAAGACTTTGTTTTGAAGGGCGCGCCTTTTTTCCTCCCAAAAAGAGCGGGCGCGCTTTTGAAATTGGAGTTTTTTTGCTTAGAGAGGGAGGTATTTTGCCACATTTTTTGATACTTCCCAGATGCAAAATGGTACGTTTTTTGCCACTGGATCAGGTCGGATTGTAGTACAGGGTGCGGCAATTTTTCGGCCGGATTTGAATTGGCTATAACTTTTTTAGTTTTTATCCGAATGTTAAAATTCTTTTTTTCCCTGAATCCTCAGGCAACCCCATTTTGTTTAATACCAAATATGTTATATTTACAGGGACCTAGTTCATAGTTATTGGCATTTCGTTCGTTTTCTCTGCTTTTTCGGCGTGTGTGAAAATCGCCAGAAAAAATGACTTTTTTTAAGAATTTTGTCGTAAAAAGTTTCATGCCTGTTCATGCCATCGAGGATACCGTTTCCACAAAAAATCAGCTATCTCCGCACAAAACTAGCGAAGATATAGCCAAAAAGCTTTTCTGTGTGACCACTCATGTGCCCTCCTGACCGCAAAGAATCGTTGAATATCTTGGCCGCCCCTGAAAGGCGCGGGCTGAAACTTTCAGGAATTGATGTGTGGCCTATGTCCGACCCATGTGCAAAATTTAAAGAAAATCTGAGAGTCGCACTAGGGGTAATTCCATTGACAGCTATGAAAATTAGAGCTTTTTCTTTGTCTCGAATTTTTACTGTAGTCTAATGAACGGGTATAACATATTTGGTATTAAACAAAATGGGGTTGTCTGTGGATTCAGGGAAAAAAAGAATTTTAACATTTGCCCAAAAACTAAAAAAGTTATGGCCAATTAAAATCCGGCCGAAAAATTGCCGCACCCTGTAATTTATGTACTCGGCAGGCCCGAAAGTCCTAAAATTTTTTCGCAAAGTGCGAACAAAAAGCTCACCATGCAGTTTTATCGCGCAACACACAGTGAGGGACCGGATCCAGTGGCAAAAAACGTCCCATTTTGCATCCCGGAGGGCCCAAAATCTCTCCAAGCCCTTCCCTTCTCCAAGCTAAAAAAACCCCGTTTTGAAGAGCACGCCTTGAAGGAAAGGGTTTGGAGACGTTTTGGTCCCTGCCGGGATGCAAAATTGGACGTTTTTTGCCATTGGATCAGGTCCCTGTAAGCTTTGATTGCCCGTTGCGAAGGAATTCATTTTGCTCTGTGCGCGATCGGTGTACACCCTGCATTTTACTCATAGCCGTGCGACAAGTTTTTCGCGTGGCAGCGCACCGGGCAAAACTCTCAAAGGCTTTTTGGCCCGCTTAGTGCACAAATCACGCTAAGAATTTAGTCATAACTTTGTACTTGCGGCATTGCCCTAGACAACGGCTAAGGAAAGTGACCCCGCTCACGTGAGCGTGGTAACCGCACTCTCGCTCTGACTGGCCGGATTCCCATCGCCGCTTCCGTCCAATGGCTCGTAAGGTGTTTTCTGCCATAGACGAGAACAATAAAACGAGATTAAAAAGTGTGGTATTGATTATGTTATAGAGTATTCTTTAATTTAGATTCATAATACAATCTCTAAACTTCGGTGAAACCAATTTTAGTTCGTATAAACTAGAGTTTCAACCAATAATGGTAATGATATTTGAATGACTTATTTGCCATTCTGTGCCAGAAAAATTAGTTACAAATGAGATAATTTGCAACATTGGTGGAAAAACGCGTTTTTCCTCTTGAGATTCTTTTTGCACGGTGCAAAATTATAGGCTTCTTGTAACTAAAAATTTGCACTGTGCAAAATTACAGGCTTTTTTCAATTATAAAACTGCACTGTGCAAAATTATAGGCTTTTTTAAATTATAAAACTGCACTGTGCGAAAGCGTAGGCTTTTTTCAATTGAAAATTTTCACTGTGCAAAAAGCATAAGCTCTTTTTTTAATTGACAATTTTCGCTGTGCCAAATTACAGGCTTTTTTTCAATTAAAAATTTGCACTGTGCAAAATCATAGGCTTCTTTTAACTAAAAATTTGCACTGTGCAAAAATTATAGGCTTTTTTCAACTAAAAAATTGCACTGTGCAGAATCACAAGCTTTTTTTAACTGAAAATTTGCACTATGCAAAAAGCATTAGTTTTTTTCAATTGAAAATTTTCACTGTGCAAAATTACAGGCTTTTTTCAACAAAAACTTTGCACTGTGCAAAATCATAGGCTTTTTTAACTACCAATTTGCACTGTGCAAACTCATAAGCTTTTTTCAACTAAAAATTTGCGCTGTGCGGAAATTTTGTTCAATAAAATTTATGCCTCTGTTTTTTTCAATTATCTTTGCTTTTTTCGCCTTTATTTTATGGCTCTTACGTATTAATAATATCGATTTTTTTACGAACTTTCGATGCCCATTATTTTATTTCATTGACATTCGTATATCCACTCACTGAGATGTGATAAGCTCAGCATTCGAACAACATTTGCACGCAATACAACGATTTAAAATATGTATTCTATCGTTGGGCAAAGACTACAGTGTTCGGTACGAGAAAACATGCACTATTCGTTTCGTGTCCAGAGTCAATGAAAAACAAGGGCCATAAAAATTGTTGAACTCTTTCAACCCTTGAGAATCTTAGGGCAAAGCATAATAATATCGGAAATACGTCAAGTTGGACCTTTTTTACCATTAAAAAATAATCGAATTTTTTGGTCGAAAAATGAGGAAAATTTGGATTTTTTTTTCAAAATGAAAAAATCATAGCTTGTTTCAAGTGAAGCAGCACATTTTTCTACCGAAAATTTCTGAAAAAAGAAAGCTTTTCCCACCAGCATTCGAAAAGAAACGGCCAAAAGAAACGAGTTTCTCTGACCGTCTCTCCTCATTCTCCATAGTCTCTCATTACATTGTTGAATATCTCGGCTGTTACTGCAAAATGTGAGCTGAATTTTTTTTGGGATTGAAATGTGGCCAAATTAAAATATTTTTTTTTCAAAATTTTTAGAAAATCGTAATGTGAAAATCGAGATTTTTTGTCAAAAAAGTGCAGTTTTTTATCAAAAAATCTTTTTTTTTAGAAGTGGGAAATTGCGATAAAGATTAGTCCTACTCTTTCTAGCATTTTCTTGGCCAAATTTTTTGTTTCTGCACAACGCGATTTAAATTTTTTTTATTTTTGAAAAATTAAAATTTTTTTTTTCAAACAATCGATCTTTTTGGGATTTCTAGCATTTTTTGGCCAAAACTTTTTGTTTCTGCACAACGCGATTTCAAATTTTTTTAAATTTTCAAAAAATAAAAAAAAAAATTTTTCAGAAAATCGATTTTTTCAATTTTCATCATCGTTTTTTTGTCTAAATGTTTTACTGACCCCAATTTTGCTATTTTTTTGCACTTTTTTTAACATGTATATCACCATTTCCCTCGTAGCTTCACCTGTTGTACCATTTCCCCCCAACTTCCTTATGACCCCGACCTTTATTTACGTTTTGTCGCATTCCAACTAGCAATCGAGAAAACAATAATCTTGGCTGTTTATAAGGCTCAGCGCCGCAGTTAAATCCCATTAAGCGAGGCAGTAAAAAGAGTGTTGTTCCGTTATTTTCGGGTCAACGTCGGACGGTAAAACAAGGCTGTGGTGTGGAAATCAAAGTTACCGTATCTTTTTGAGTCAAATATGTTATTTTTTGGGGTATTTCAATTTTTTGAAAATTTTGCACAGTGCGAAAATCTAGGCTTTTTTCAATTATAAAACTGCACAGTGCGAAAGCATACGCTTTTTTCAATTAGAAAATTGCACTGTGCAAAAATTTAGGCTTTTTTCAATTAGAAAATTGCACTGTGCGAAAACATAGGCTTTTTTCAACTAGAAAATTGCACTGTGCAAAAACGTAGGCTTTTTTAAACTATGAAATTGCACTGTGCAATACAATTTTTTTTTGATTTTTTTATATCGCGATGTGCTGAAATAATTTTTTAATCATACATTATTACTCCGTATTTTACAACACCGCCGCGCTAAATTTTTTTAAAGTTTTTTTCTAAAAAAATCTTTTTTCAGTCTCCAAAAATGGGCCTTTGTTGCTCGATGTATGTGGAGCAGATGGCTCTGATCCGAAAACGCCACATGGAAACGAGAAATGAAATCAAAAAAGCGTGAGTTACTTTTCAAAAAAAAAAGTTTTTTCGCACTGTGCACTTTACTCTCTTGTTTTTGTCGCACCGTGTAATGAATTTTTGACAATGCGATAAATTGCACTGTGCAGTTTATCGGGGGTGAGCGATGACCGCACTGTGCGATTTTTTTGAAGTCAAAAATTTCTTTTTTTTTTGGCGTCGCACCGTGCAGTCATTTAGAAAATTGCACTGTGCAAAAATCTTTTTCCGAAAAAACTGCACTGTGCGGAGAGCCAAGCTTTTTTAGCTTATAAAACTGCACTGTGCAAAAAAAATTTTTTTGCAAAAACTGCACTGTGCAAAATTTTCGTTTGAAGACTGCACTGTGCAAAGTTTTTTTTTTGAAATTGCACAGTGCCGACAGCTAAGCTTTTTTAGCTTATAAAACTGCACTGTGCAAAAAAATTTTCAAGAACTGCACTGTGCAATAAAAAATTTGTTTCAAAAACTGCACTGTGCAAAAAAAAATTTTTTTTGAAATTGCACAGTGCGGACAGCTAAGCTTTTTTAGCTTATAAAACTGCACTGTGCAATAAAAATTTTTTTCAAAAACTGCACTGTGCAAAAAAAATTTTTTGAAAAACTGCACTGTGCAAAAAAAATTTTTTGAAAAACTGCACTGTGCAAAAAAAATTTTTTGAAAAACTGCACTGTGCAAAAAAAATTTTTGAAAAACTGCACTGTGCAAAAAAAATTTTTTGAAAAACTGCACTGTGCAAAAAAAATTTTTTGAAAAACTGCACTGTGCAAAAAAACTATTTTAAAAGTTCACAATGTGGTCAAAAAATGACCCAAAAACGAGCTTTTCCGGTCCCAAGAGACTTTGAATTTGACGTCGTCGGCAAAACTACACCGTCGAAAATTATAATCTGCTATGAGTTTGATTTGATTACTTTTTTCCACTCAAAAACTAGTAAATCTTATATTTGGAAAGGAAAAAAATCCCGGTAATTCGGAGGAATTGGATTATTTTGGTCGTAGGACGAGGCTATTTACCTATTCATGCCAGCATTTTTGTGACGCCCGGTGCTTACGGTGGGATTTTTGGAAAATACGAGATTTGGGAGATTTTTTAAGTGAAAAATCGCGTTAAATAGGCAAAAACTGGAGGATTGCTTGAATAAATTTTATGGGAATTTGTCTAATAAGGATTCACAGAGAATTTTTCGGCTTCAAAATGAGGAAAATAATTGAAAATTTGAGGAAAATGGGGTTTTTCACCTTATTTTATTGAAAAATTGAAGAAAAATTTGAAAAATGACTTTTTTCCAAGAAAAAATTGGGGTAAATGTAAAGCTAAAATAATTTTGAAAGTCTCTGCTTTATTTTACACTAAAATCCAGCTCTTATTTTTTTAAAAATTCACTCATTTTCACCTCAATTTACCTGATTTCCCCTCCTTTTTCAGACCAATTGAGATGTCAGAGCCAAATTTCGACCCCGATCGCCTCAATCTGACCGAAGCGCATCGACAAGCGATGAAAGCTTGCTGGGTGAATGTCATCTCGGTGGAGCGACGAGACATCTTCCACAAAACGATGCTATTTTGCATAGAAGCGTCGCCAAAATTGAACGAAATCATCGCCATGAATCGGTACTGCTACAGAGACCTCACACGATGGCCGAAGTTGAATGAAATGTGGTAAGGGAATTTTGAAAAGTGATTCTGCGTTTTGAAAATTCAAAAAAACACAATTTTTTTTTTTTTTGAAAAATTCGCACTGTGCAAAATTTTAGTTTAAAAAAGCCTAGATTTTTGCACTGTGCAATTTTTTAGTTCTAAAAAACTTGTAATTCTGCACTGTGCAGAAATTCTAAATTTTTGAAAAAAAAATTTTTTTTTGCACTGTGCAATTTCATAGTTGAAAAAAGCCTATATTATTGCACAGTGCAATTTTCTAATTGGAAAAAGTTTATAGATTTGCACTGTGCAATTTTGTAGTTGAAAAAAAGCCTTGATTTTTGCAACGTGCAGATTTTTAGTTGTAAAAAGCTTGTAATTCTGCACTGTGCAGAAATTCTAAATTTTTGTAAAAAAAATAAAAAAATTTTTTTTGCACTGTGCGATTTCATAGTTGAAAAAAGCCTAAATTTTTGCACAGTGCAATTTTCTAGTTGAAAAAAGCCTAGATTTTTGCACCGTGCAGATTTTTAGTTGTAAAAAGCTTGTAATTCTGCACTGTGCAGAAATTCTAAATTTTTGAAAAAAAAAAATTAAAAAAAATTTTTTGCACTGTTCGATTTTCTAGTTGAAAAAAGCCTATAGTTTTGCACTGTGCAATTTTGTAGTTGAAAAAAGCCTAGATTTTTGCACCGTGCAGATTTTTAGTTGAAAAAAGCCTAGATTTTTGCACTGTGCAGGTTTTTAGTTGTAAAAAGCTTGTAATTCTTCGCTGTGCAGAAATTTTATATTTTTGAAAAAAAAATTAAAAAACGAATTTTTTGCACAGTGCAAACTGTTAGTTTAAAAAAGCCTATAGCTTTGCACCGTGCAGACTTTTAGTTGTAAAAAGCTTATAACTTTGCACAGTGCAAAAAAATTTTTCGCCATAAATTTTGTTATTTTTCAGCACAAAAAAGTACGAGTTCTTCGAGAAACTGATTGTGCAAACAGACCTCAGCGAAGACGTGGTTCAGAAAGCGGTCGACTGCAGTGGGCGAATGCACGCCTCCTACTCGAAATACGGAATGAAACCTCATTTTTTGGACATTTTCCAGCAGCAATTCATTGGGCTGTTGTTCCGTCTGAAGGAGCACGAGAGCTACGACCGAGAAACAATGCTGCAAGGCTACACATTGCTGTTGACGTACATGATTGAGCGGATGAACGTGACCTACGCCGAAGCCATTCAACAGATGCGGACGAAAGAGGAGAAAGAGCCCAAGGAAGAGCAGGAACAGTATTGAAATGACGTTAGAATCTGAAAAATCTCCAACTTGAAAGCGATATGTACAGTAATTTTCTTTGTTGTCTGACCTATCTCATCGTATGTTATTTTATTTTTTGTAATAAATTTTTATTATTTTTTTGTCATCCTAGGTTTTCACGTATTTTACATAAAAAATTTTTTTTTGCACAGTGCAGTTTTCTAGGCTAAAAAAGCCTAGGATTCCGCACTGTGCAATAATATAGGCTTTTTTCAACTAAAAAATTGCACTGTGCGAAATCATAGGCTAATTTAGCCTATGTAATTGCACTGTGCGAACTTGAGAAAGTTCCTCCAAAAAATTCAATTCCACAAAAATTGAGGACCGCCAGAGTGGGTTTTTTTCAAGGATTTCTGTCGCTTACACTTTGCTGTGAAACCATACTTTTTTCAAAAAATTGCACAGTGCAAAAATCTAGGCTTTTTTCAACTAAAAATTTGCACTGTGCAAAACCGTAGGCTTTTTTCAACTAAAAATTTGCACTGTGCAAAAAAAAAAAATTTTTTTATTTTTTTTTCAAAAATTTAGAATTTATGCACAGTGCAGAATTACAAGTTTTTTAGAACTAAAAATTTGCACTGTGCAAAAATACAGGCTTTTTTCAACTGAAAAATCGCACAGTGCAAAAATACAGGCTTTTTTCAACTAAAAAATTGCACAGTGCAAAACCCTGAGCTTTTTTCAACTAAAAAATTGCACTGTGCAAAATGTTTGGCTTTTTGAACTATGACGTTGCTTTGTGCAAAAGCAAGAATATGGCAAATAAGACGCAAATTTGTTTTCGACACCAGTTAATTTTGTTGTACCCTACAACTTTTTTTTGAACACGCACAGTGCAAAAGTGTAGGCTTTTTTCAACTTGAGAACTGCACTGTGCAAAAACATAGGCTTTTTTCAACTAAAAAATTGCACTGTGCGAAATTTTCGTTTAAAAAAGGTTCATTTTTTTTGCACTGTGCGGTTATCAAAGAGAACGTACTACAAGATTTGTTTGCCTACCAGAACTAAATATAAAAAGAACATCTATTCGAAACTTCTCACAGCAGGAATCCCCCCTCGGCTCTGTGGAATAAATATAAAGATATAAAAGAAAAATTTTCTTCGATTCTAAACAATTCTTCGGTTCCAAGGATATATGTATTATATTTTGTTTTACAGGTTTGGAATTTTTGATGTACGTACTATACACGTATTTACAGGGTCTTTCAAGAAACGTGAAGGAAAGTAGGAGGCTATAACCTTTTAGAGTGCAAACTGAGGTCGCCACGACCTTCTGAAGTACAGGGTGGGCCACTCGAAACTGACAAGTTGTTTCTTTGAATTTCTCCACGGAGACTCCGCCGATTTTTCCAAAATTTAGATTTTTCTGGAGCTGAGACCCGCCATTTTCAACCGACTTACTTTCAAGAAAATATATTTTGAATTGACCTTTCCATGCCTTCTCAAAGTTTTGAAAAATTATTTGCAGGCCGAAACCGCTAAAACTTAGAAAATTTTTGGAATGATTTTGGAAACTTGGTCATTTTTCCGAGTTCTTGGGTGAAATTTTCTTTGTTTTACCTCGGATAGTTATCAAATATTGTTCCGAAAACAATTTTAGTTACAATCTGATTATTAATGCTTCTCTCTGAGTTATTATGCTCACCTCCTCTAACATCACAAACTTGCAGTGTCTTTGAGAGTCATGCGCAGCTAGAATTGCGTATCGTGGATATGGTTTTTAAAGTTAAAACTTCAATCAAGCCGGGTTCTGAGCTTCAAGATGCCCCACGCCTGACTCGATAACCATTGACGTCGAATTTTTCAATCTTTTTGAAATCTTTTTTTTTTTTTTTTGAATGTTCGTGCCCTAATGGTAATACAAACAACCCTCTTGTGGCTTTCAACTTGCTTTAAACAAGTTTAAGGCGAGCACTAGCAGCTTTTACTCCACGATTTCCCCCAAAAAAACCAAAAATTTTCCAAGTCCGAGAAAGTCAATTGAAAATCATTCCAAAAATTTTCAAAGTTTTAGCGGTTTCGGCCTGAAAATAATTTTTCAATACTTTGAGGAGGCATGGAAAGGTCAATTTAAAATATGTTTTTTTGAAATTCAGTCGGTTGAAAATGGCGGGTCTCAGCTCCAGAAAAATCTGAATTTTAGAAAAATCGGCGGAGTCTCCGCGGAGAAATTCAAAGAAACAACTTGTCAGCTTCGAGTGGCCCACCCTGTAGAGGCATCTCTACCCCAAAAACCAAGTTTTTTCGGTTGAAAATGATCGAAAAATTATAGAGTTTTTCGGTTGAAAATCACCAGGAAATGTCGGATTTTTTCGGGGGTTTCGAGAGATTTGAGGTTGAAAAAAGGGAAAGATGTTGCCAACACATTGAAAATTAAGCAAATATTCGGCTACTCTTCATTCTGACACTTTGGCTAGCCAACCAGCTTTTGCTAGCAGTTTAAAAATTTGTTGTAATTCCTGCCCTTTGACGCCCCTTACACCCCTTTGACTAGTTTTTATAAGACTTCACAGACATACTGGTGCCCTGGCTAGCCGATTCCAGGTCCCCCGAGCCCCCGGGCTTGATTTTGCATTGAATTTTTTTTTGAATTTGCACTAAATTTCATCAAACTTTGAGAGTTATCTTTGCACACTGCACAGTGCAAAAACGTAGGCTTTTTATAGCTAGAAAATCGGACTGTGCGAAATTTTTTGAAAAAGTAAAAAAATGGATTTTTGACAAAAAAAATTTTTTTGAGCCAACAATTTTTTTTTCACTTTGCAAAAATTTAACTTTTTTTCAACTAAAATTTTTCACAGTGCAAAGCTGTAGGCTTTTTTCAACTACGAAACTGCACTGTGCAAAACCGTAGGCTTTTTTCAATTAGAAAATTGCACAGTGCAACAATTTAGGCTTTTTTCAACTATGAAATTGCACTGTGCAAAAAAAATTTTTTTATTTTTTTTTCAAAAATTCAGAATTTTTGCGCAGTGCAGAACCACAAGCCTTTTAGAACTAAAAAATTTCACGGTGCAAAAGTCTACGCTTTTTTCAATTAAAAAATTGCACAGTGCAAAACCGTAGGCTTTTTTCAACTACGAAACTGCACTGTGCAAAAAAATTGAATTTTCCACAAATGTCCTCAAACTACTAATCGTCAATTTTCACCACTTCCTTAAACAAAAATTTTCCCAACAATTTTTTTTATCATCTTTTTTCTTTCCTTGTAGCCAACCTTCAAAAGTTCCCAACAATGTTTTGTTCACAGTTAAAATTAGAAGGTATTTCCGCAAAGTGTTGGATTTCTTGAAACAAAACAAAACAGAGCCTCATTTGCTCTCGCCCCGCACTGGTCAACCGATTTAATACCGCGGAAGCAAAAACTTTTTCTCCTGCGCTTCGAGCGCCGCCTATTTCGTCAGACCCGCTGCGGAATTCGAGTCATTTCCGCTGTTCCGGGGCGATCAGTTGCGCAGAAACGTGTGCTACCGTGAAGAGGATACTGTACTATTTTTTGAGGTGGACTTTCGTTGATTTTTAAAAATTTTTGCACAGTGTGAAAATGTAGGCTTTTTTCAACTGGAAAACTGCACTGTGCAAAAACGTAGGCGTTTTTCAATTAGAAAGCTGCACTGTGCAAAAGCATAGGCTTTTTTCAACTAGAAAACTGCACTGTGCAAAAATTGTAGGCTTTTTTGGACTAAGACTTTGCACAGTGCAAAAATCCAGGCTTCTTTCAACTAGAAAATTGCACTGTGCGAAAACGCAGGCTTTTTTCAATTAGAAAACTGCACTGCGCAAAAATTTAGGCTTTTTCCAACTAGAAAATTGCACTGTGCAAAATTTTTAGAAGATAAAAGATACCGATTTTTATGACAAAAAAAATTGATTTTTTTTGCACCGTGCAAACCCCTAGGCTTTTTTCAACTATTTAGAAAACTGCACTGTGCAAAAATTTAGGCTTTTTTGGGCTAAGATTTTGCACAGTGCAAAAATCCAGGCTTTTTTCAACTGGAAAATTGCACTGTGCAAAACTATAAGCTTTTTTCAATTAGAAAATTGCACTGTGCAAAATTGTAGGCTTTTTTGGACTAAGATTTTGCACGGTGCAAAAATCTAGGTCTTTTTTCAACTTGAAAATTGCACTGTGCAAAATTTTTAGGAGATAAAAAATACTGATTTTCATGACAAAAAAATTTTTATTTTTTTTTTTTGCACAGTGCAAAACCCAAGGCTTTTTTCAATTAGAAATTTGCACAGTGCAAAACTATAAGCTTTTTCAATTAGAAAATTGCACTGTGCAATTTTTCATTTTTTCCAGAAATTTCCCTTTTGACGAAAATTTCGACCGCAGTCCAAAAAATCAGTTTTATGGACAATAAAAATAATGGTTATATTCCACATGAAACCGGAACATCCGCTTAGTCCCCGTTGAAAGATGATTAGCGCGCGCCTTCTAATCCCAGCAACCGGACGGCCGAAATTTAAACCCGTTCCGTGGTAATATCATACGGGTTGCGGCGGTTTGGAGGCGATTTTCGACGTTTTTTCGTCTGGCCTTGGTCTGCACTGTGCAGAAAACAAAAATTTTTTTTTCGCACCGTGCAGATTTTTTTCAACTTTGGACTTAAAAATCTCGGTGGATTCGGCAGATTGGGGGATAAAAATTTCAGACATGAGTTATCAGAGTATACTCTACGTATATGCCAAGTTTTGCGACAATTCGACGATTTTTTTTCATTTTAAAATTTTTGAAAATTTTCAATTTTTGTATGTTTTTCCGAAATTTTGACGATAAATTTTTGTCTTGTCTGGGAGATTATGATCTCCGTTGTCTTGCAGATATATCTTCGCTACCATTTACACCTACTATTCTCTTATTCCACCCAAAAATCGCAATTTCCAGGCCAAAAATGCGGTTTCTATGGCTGATTCCCCCGTTCCTCCTCTCAATCCAAGCGCTCGATGTCCCGAAAACCTTCCACAATTACGGACAGGCCGGTTATGACACAAGGGTGAGTGTAAAATACAATATTTTTATCTATCCGAAGAACCCATATCAATATCCGTGTAAAGCGAATAGCGTTTCGAACGACCGCCTCTCGCAGATGGTCGATGGCCGTGTGGTAAGCGGTGTGTGACGTCAGAATCAGCTGGTTTTGCGGTGTTCGCACGAGGGGAAATTCCGAAAATTTTTTTTGATGACAAAAACTTTTTTTGCACAGTGCAGTTCTATAGTGTAAAAAAGCCTAGGATTTTGCACAGTGCAAATTTTTAGTTGAAAAAAGCCTACGGTTTTGCACTGTGCAGTTTTATAATTGAAAAAAGCCTAGAGTTTTGCACTGTGCAGATCTTTTTGATTAGAAAGATGAGCGTAAATCGTCAAAAAAAAACAAAAAAATTTTCGAAAAAATTTTTTTGCACAGTGCAAATTTTTAGTTGAAAAAAGCCCACAATTTTGCACAGTGCAGTTTCATAATGGAAAAAAGCCTATGGGTTTGCACTGTGCATAACTTTCGTTGAAAAAAGCCCAAGTTTCTGCACTGTGCGGTAAATCAATGACGTCATTAGAAGCTGACTTTTGTAGAGCCCACAAATCTTTCTGCAATCTGCGAAATTTTGCAATTTTCTCAAATATTTCTCATGGTAAAAAAATCTTTTACCTGAAATTGGCCTATATTTCTGCACAGTGCACTCGGCAAATTTTGATTTTTTTCTCCTAAAGAAAAAATGAATTTTTCAGATGCAAAAGTACGATTCGAATCTGCAAAACGTTCCTCCGGCGTCCATTTCCTACGTTCCTGTGCAGGCGAATCAATTGGATTCCCAGCCTCTGGTGCAGATGCCTCCGCAGAATCCTCCGCCAATAATGCCGCCTGAGGACATGACTCCGCCCTCACGGAGGGGACCACAGCCCAATGGCCACATGTTGGCGTTGCAGAATGGGCAAATTGGTCAAAATGGGCAAATTGCCCAAAACGGGCAAATTGCCCAAAATGCCCAAATTGCCCAAAACGCCCAAATCCCAGCCCCTCAAAATGCCCCAGCCTTCCAAGTTGACCCTTCCGCCGCCATGGCCTCGTATCCGCAGACTCAAATCCAGCCGCAAACCAACGACTTCAACTCCCAACAATTCCCAGCCCCATTGGTCCAGAACCCCCAAAATATGGGGCTGACGCAGATCGGGCAAGGCCCACAAGGCATGATCAGCAGTGGCGCCGTCCTCGGCTCGGCCGAATTGGAGCAGCAGCTCGAACTGCAGCGCCAACAACAAGCGCAAGCGGACGCGGAACGCGCGAGAGCCGCGTTGGAGGCGCAGCGGGCGAAAATTGAGGCCAAACAAAGGCAAATGGAGGCGGAAAGAAGGAAACAGGTGTGTGAGAAAGGGCCGGAAAATTTTTTTTTAAATTCAAGGCTTTTTGTTTTGAAAAAATTTTGCACAGTGCAATTTTGTAGTTGAAAAAAGCCTATGAATTTGCACTGTGCAGTTTTGTAATTGAAAAAAGCCTATGATTTCGCACTGTGCAAAATTTTCGTTGAAAAAACTTAAATTTTTCCATAGTGAAAAAATTTGTTGGCTCAAAAAAAAAATTTTTTTTGCCAAATATCCATTTTTTTACGTTTTCAAAAATTTTGCACAGTGCAATTTGATAGTTGAAGAAAGCCTATAAATTTGCACTGTGCAAATTTCTAATTGAAAAAAGCCTACGTTTTTTTTTTGCACAGTGCGAAAACATAGTTAAGAAAAGCTTACAGCTTCGCACTGTGCAATTTTTTAGTTGAAAATAGCCTACAGCTTTGCACGGTATAAAAAAATAAAAAAATATATATATTTTTTCAAATTTTCAATTTCTCCAGGAAGAAGAGGCTGCCGCTCAACGCGACGCCTACATACGTCGTCATCAAGAAGAGCAGCAACGCGCCTATCATCAACAAATCATGCAACAGCAGCAATATACGCATACCCCTCCGCCAAATCCAAACCTTCCAGCAGACTCAAACTCCAACACAAACTCGGCGCTTTCGCAACTCTCAAATCAGCAGCTGGAAGAGTATGCGCAGAAGCTGAGAGAGCAAATCGCCAGAGAGTCCAATACGGGAATGGTCGCGCAAACATTGCCGATTCAAACTATGGCCACAACAGCGCCGCCAGTTACGCAACCACTGGTCGTGGCGGAATTGACGACAGTGGTGCCGGAAGTTGATGGATTTGGGTGAGTTTGGAGGCTTCAGAGGGATGTTTCACGTACAAAAAGGGCACAACTCGAGTTAGCGGCATCACAGAAAAAGCGGAGAGAGCAGAGAAAAAGAGGAGTGGTAACTCGAGTGACCTGACTTTTTATCGACTTTGGCCGCACATTTTGGGCCATAACTTTTGATACAGTGGACCAATTTGCGCCCTTCCAAAAAAATATTAATGCTGGTGGTACACAGAAAAGATGGATATAAATTTGTAAAATTTTCTTTTAAATTATGCAAATTATATGCAAATTTTTTTCTTGGTATCTTAAAGCTCGTCTTTTATTAAAATCTTTATATGGACATGTTTGTTACGCCCTCAGCATCAAAGGGTTTTTTGAAGGGTGTAAAGATACTCATATAAACAAGGTTTTTTCATTGTGAAAATGTTTAAAAAAGTCTGGATTTTTGCACAGTGCAAAAAGGTTTTAAAAACATGAACCGTATCTTAAAATTTTGTATCGCGAGACATTTTTCAACATCGTATTTTAAAATGATTTTTTAAATATTTTTTGTATTTTTGCACAGTGCATTTTTTTAGTTAAAAAAAGCCTAAAATTTTGCACTGTGCAATTTACTAATTGAAAAATGCCTATATTCTTGCACTGTGCAAGTTTCATATAGAAATTAGCCTACATTTCCCGCACAGTGCAATTCTCTAATTGAAAAAAGCCTAATTTTTTTGGCACAGTGCATTTTTTTAGTTGAAAAAGCCTTGATTTTTGCACCGTGCGGTTTTCTAATTGAAAAAAGCCTAAACTTTTGCACAGTGCAATTTTTTAGTTCAAAAAAGCCTAAATTTTTGCACTGTGCAATTTACTAATTGAAAAAAGCCTAGATTTTTGCACAGTGCAATTTTTTAGTTCAAAAAAGCCTAAATTTTTGGCACAGCGCAACTTTCATATTGAAATTAGCCCACATTTCCCGCACAGTGCAATTTTCTAATTGAAAACAGCCAAAATTTTTGCACCGTGCAAAGTTTCAAAAAATTGTGTTTAATCAACTCAAAAAAAAAAAATAAATAAATAAAAATAAATAAAAAAAAATAAAAAACTTTTTTTTAGCCAACCTCCCGATCAATCGCAGCCACAGCCTTTGCCACCGCCCCCATCATTCCCTGGAGTACCCTCAATCCCACCCAAACTCACCCACGACGTCAACTACTGTGATCGCGGCCAATTTGACGACGCGAAATTGGCCGACTTGCACCTGAAACGCTCCGATTACTTTATCTACAATACCAGTTGTTCGGGGCTGTTCTTTCAGTGCGCAATTGGGCAGACGTTCGTGTTGAGGTGTCCGAGTGAGCAGGCGCAAGCGTTCGATCCGGCGATTTCGAGTTGTAATTTCAAGAACTCGGTGAGGTTCTGCCCGGAATACGACCATGTCATGTATTGCAGTAAGTGGTTTTCAAGGCTCGTTGGTCAAGCTTGGGGTTTATTTTTTTGTCGAGTCCACGAAATGGCGAAATCTATTAGTTTTTATTTTCATAAAGTGCATAGACATTTGCTCGTATTCGCACAATGCATTTTGATAAATCCACATTGTTTTCTGATAAATCCACATTGTTTTCCCGACAGACTGATAAATCGACATTATTTTTCCGACAGACTGAGAAATCCACATTATTTTCCCGACAGCCTGATAAATCGACATTATTTTTCCGACAGACTGAGAAATCCACATTATTTTCCCGACAGCCTGATAAATCGACATTATTTTCCCGACAGACCGATAAATCCACATTATTTTCCCGACAGACTGATAAATCCACATTATTTTCCCGACAGTCTGATAAATCGACATTATTTTTCCGACAGACTGCTAAGTCCACATTATTTTCCCGACAGACTGAGAAGTCCACATTATTTTCCCGACAGCCTGATAAATCGACATTATTTTTCCGACAGACTGATAAATCCACACTATTTTCCCGGCAGACTGATTTTTGACGATTTCGACTTGTCGGGAAAATAATTAGCATACTTTCGCAGCGCCGAAATAGTCGCTGAAGTGAAAAGCAGTTTGATTCCTCGGCGGCGATACGATTTTCGATGCGACAAAGTGGTCATAATTTTCCCGACAGATTGATAATCAAAATTTCAGCGATCCGCGAGACCTGCACTGACAACGAGTTCGCCTGCTGTGCGTTGCCGCAAAAGTGCATCGACTACACCCGACGCTGCGATGGCCATAGAGATTGCTCTGACGGCGAGGACGAAAACAATTGCCGTAAGAGTCCATCTGCTCTACTAGTCGCGCCATAAAGTCCTGACACAAGGACTTTATGTCGCGACTACTACTGCAGAGAGAAACTTGTGATTTTTACGGTGCAATTATGCAAAATTTCAGCTTCCTGTGCAAAGGACGAATTCGCATGTGTGAAGAGCGGAATTTGCATACCGGCCACGAAGAGGTGCGATGGGAAGCCGGACGACTGCGGGGATGGGACGAACATGGATGAGATTGGGTGCAGTAAAAACGAGAGTAAGTGGAGTACGAGGGGTAAAGTAGGGAGGAAAAGTTGTACTAGGCGAGCCAAAAAGTCGTGACTTCTGTGACACCATAATTCTGTCTGAAAAATAACGGCGCACGGCAACCCAGGGAGTATCCCGCTTCGTTTCGGCACTTCGCCCACCAAGTATCGGTTGAATTCAAACGAAATGTTAAAAATGAATTTTTTGTGTGGTTTTCCGACCGAAAAATGTTTTTCTCGGAATTATTTTATTTCCTTTGTGAATTTCGACACTTTGTTTGGACGAAATTCAAAAGTGGGCGGGAGACATTTTTGTTCGGGAAAAGTTCCTTATTTTGGCCACAACAAAGGTACGCCGCGAACTGCGCCCAAGCTTGGGCACTAAAGTTATGAAAAAACGCTTCGACCTAGCTGGCACTGAATTACTATAATAGCTCTACAGTTTTAAGGGTACCTACGAAGGCTGTGACGACTCATTTAGTTCCATACGGAGTCAATAAGTTTAGTTCCGGGCATGTTTCATCGTATAAAGTATAAAATCACAGGCTAAATTTGGGCTCATTCCGACCAGTTTCCGAAAAGTTATGTTGTGGCCAAAATAAGGAACTTTTACCATCCACTTTGCTACGGTTGTTGCAACTGGTGATTTGGTGCGCGCGTGCACCCTTTTTCAACGCGGCGGGTCAAATGCGGTTTGCGAAGCACTTTTTTTTGCGATTTGCGACAAACGCGCCGAAACCGCACTGCGCGAATTCTCAAGACTTTTCTGCCCCGCAAAGCAATGATGGGCGATTCCTGCTATTATTTTCCCGTCATGCTGACACTGTTACGACTTATTCTATTGCTACTAAGCCTTACGCAAAGTCGCCAGAGTGATTTCTGCGACCTGCACTGTGCCAAAACAAAAATTCAGTTTGCACAGTTGTCAAGACCTTGATATAGGTCAAGTAATAAGGGCCCCTAATCTAGTTCTACCTAAGATCCCAAGCCCTATGCGAACACGAAGACAACGATTATTCAAACAAGCGACAATAAAACTAACTATGCCCTAGGCAACAACTTCACAAGTGAACTCACAATGCTTGACTCCACCAACACAAGAGACCATAGACAAATCAATAGACAAATAGTAAATACAGTAGACTTTATTGGACACAACCGCATAAGCGGGAAAAGACAAAACACAAAAATAATACTAATAATTGGCGATTTCTCTTCCTTTTATACCAATTTGTCGGTCATTCCGTGGGAATATGCAAATTCGCACGCGAAGTCGTGACGCAGTGCAATTTCTTATTTGTTGCACCGTGCAATGGGTTTTTTGGGTCGTCGCTCGCACCCTGACTTTCACTGTAGAGTGCACGTCGCCCAAGTCAGCCCAGCGACTTTGCAAACGGACTAGTGTCATTTTGTCGGTAAAATTCGATAAAAATTTTCACTGACCTTTTTCAGCCTGCTGGGGCAAGTTCGTCTGCGACAGTCCCACAACGATAGCCCAAGCCGGCCACTCCGTGTGCCTGGACTACGAAAAACATTGCGACGGGGTGAAGGACTGTCCGGACGGCGAGGACGAACAGAACTGTAAACTGAACGATGCCAAATACCTCTCGTGCGAGAACCAAAAGCAACAAGTTCGCCGCGAACAATGGTGCGATGGGCGGGAGGACTGCGCGGACGGGTCTGACGAGAAGTACTGCTTCTAGAATTCTTCTACAATACGAAGATTTAATGGGGGGAATGTTTGTGCATTTTTAAATGGTTTTTATTGCCTTTTATGTTAAGAATTTCGTACTGGTACGAAATTTTGGTCATGTTTATTGCCCAATTGATAAGTTGTAATTATTTTTTGACGCAGAGATCAATGTCTTTCAAAGTTAAATTTGAATAAATTATGAAATGACAACCTGCATTCGACATATGTATGTGCAAGTTCGTCTAGAATTTTCAAGTTCATCACGAGAAATAGGATAGTTTTTTTGAGGTATTTCACATGTGTTACTGCAAAAATAATATTTATATATGTCATAAAAGTTGTGAGTGTCAAGGAAACTATGGTTAGCAAAAGCAAAAATTAGAGTCTCCGCCAAGTCTTTGGCGAGCATCCAACCGCTTTGTCAGTTCTCGTAAACACCTCCAATAACCTTTGTTTGTGTTGAAGTCTCTGAGGAGACAACCTGATACAACCCGAGTAGTTTGATTATTTGAGTGAAAAGCGGCCCTTATATAGGGAAATCCTGGAACACGGACTGGCAACAGGGCACGCCGGGACCAAACTGAGTGGGTTGACCATCGGGATTACGTTCCATCGAGCAGGTACAACCATCGAGACTTGAACATAGGGCACTTGCTTTCCACTCTTCGGTGACCGTTCCAATTTGGTTAAAACTGGGGTCGTAACGAAGTCTTTGACTTTTTTGTCTTTGACCTTTTCCCTTTTTTCGTTCATCTCTAATGAACTCTATCCGATTCAACCGGTCGTTATTCTCCTTCTGTTCGCCGTTTTCACCGTAGGTGTTGGCTCCGGCTCCGAGCGGCTCCGGCTCCGAGCCGGGAGCCAGAGTCGGAAATTTTGGGGTCGGCTCCGGCTCCCGAGCTCAAAGTCGGTGCCAGGCTTCCCAGCGGTCAGAAAAGTAAAAATTTCGTGTTCTTGTTAAACCAAATTGCTTGAAAAACACTGCGGAGGATGTGACTTGACTGCAAAAACGTTGGCTGTGGCACTAATAACATTCATTTTTTCAAAAAATATTTAAAAAAAAAACATTTTGCATAGGAGCCGGGATTCGGAGCCGGAGGCCTTTTTAAATTTTGCACGGAGCCAAGAGCCGGAGCCGGAGCTGCAAATTTGGCCTCGGCTCCGGCTCTGGGAGCTAAGAGCCGGAGCCGAAATTTTCTTGACCTACGACTCGTAACAATCGATGTTGTGTTGACCCGAATTGTCGTCTATTCAGTCCGGGCGTCGAGTCATTCACGTGTCTTTTGAGGATCCGTACTACCCGTTCGTAGAGCCGCTGGAGTGCTTTAATGCACAGTGCGAAAACAAAACTTTACTTGTGCAATAAGATTTTTTCGGCTATCGTTCGCCCCCTGACTTCTTCCGCACAGTGCAAACACCAAAGATAACTTTAGCAATTGTACGAACGAATTAATACCAGGACTTCCGGAAGGTAGGCGCGATAAAACGTAAAAAAACTTATGTACGATGTATACTGTTTGTTTTCCTTTGCTTTGCCAGGCTCTACAGAAGCCGGAAGCAGATTTGGCAAACACCTTTTTCATACAGTAATGATTCACACTTTTGGATGCGATTTCTTGCAACAAACTTGTCACAAACCTATCATATATCTGAAACGTATTTTTACATAACTTTTGAGCGATGTGATGAATCGGAGAGCTCTTTGTTTTTTTGCTGTAAACCGAAAAGTAAGCAGGGTTAGTCACTAATCAAGTAGAATTAGGAAAATAATTCTTGGAAAGTAACGAATCATCGGAGCCATGCAAAAATTAGTTCGGTAAATACTGGTTATAAACAGTCAACATCTCCATACAACTGATAGCGCCTCCCAAGAAAATTGAGCCCAAAAATTGGTATAAAAGCCGGCAATGTTTCTTCAAACTCATCGTCAAGATGAAGCAAATATCAGCGTTTCTGCTGATGGCTGCTGTTGCCTGCGGCAATATTATCACCAGAATGGAGCCTGGTGAGATGACAGACTCATCGGACTTGGCAAACGGCAAGATCCGCGGCTGCTATCTCACCAACTGGGCGCAGTATCGGCCGCAGCCCGGGAAATGGACCATGGACAAGTACGAGGCGGGCGTCTGCACCCACATCTTCTACGCGTTCGCCAAGGCCGACGCGCAAGGAAATGTGGCCCCCACCGAGCCCAACGACCTGACCACCGGCTACAAGAGTCTGCAGGCGTTGAAGCAGAAGGACCGCGGGCTGAAGACGATCCTCTCGTTCGGCGGCGCCACTTTCGCCGGCTTCCCCGCGCTCGTCGCCAGCGACGCCAGCCGCAGAGGCTTTGCGAGGAAGCTGGTGGACTTCGCTAAGCATCACGGCTTCGACGGAGTCGATATTGATTGGGAATTCCCGAGTGGCGCACAAAAGCACGGGTTCACGGAGCTGATTAAGGCCGTCAAGGCTGCCGCAGGCCATGGATTCTTGGTCACCGCCGCTCTCAGCCCAAATGCCGAGCATGCCGAGCAAATCTACGAGTTCGCGGCGTTGAAGGACGCGCTGGACTTGGTGACTGTTATGGCCTATGATTTCCATGGAAGTTGGGACAAGGTTACAGGGCATAACGCTCCGTTGAAGGGAGAGGGGAAATTCACCGTTGACTACTTGACTCAGTTCTACAAGAAGGTATGTATTGTACATACTATCGGTCTGTCGGGAAAATAATTTCTTTCCTTGGGTTTTGCAGGCTGCTGATGACATTTTATATGATACATATTTTTTGTTATCAGTCTGTCGGGAAAATAATGAGCACAGTGTCGCTGATCGTGTCGCTGAAGTGAAAAACGATTTGATTTTGCCGCAAGACATTTCATGCTCACTATTTTCCCGACAGACTGATAATAACAAATATTCATCGTATAAAATGTCATCGGCAGCCTGCAAAACCCCAAGAAAAGTCATAAGACGGTCTTATCGCTCTGTCGGGAAAATAATGAGCGTTATGTCGCTGTCGTGTCGCTGAAGTGAAAAGCTGCAACCGAGTGCTCATTATTTTCCCGACAGACTGATAAATCAACCAATCTTTCACAAAAAAGTCAATATTTTTCTTCAGCACTTCCCCGCCAACAAGATTGTCCTCGGCATCCCCACATACGGCCGTGGCTGGACTCTGGCCTCAGGCAATCCGAACCAAGGCCCCGGCTCTCATGCGCCATCACCGTCGCCGGCGTTCCCGGCTACGCGGACTGCCGGCATCGCCGCCTATTACGAGGTGTGCCAATTGGCGCGCAAAGGCGGAAAAGTGAGCTTTGACAACAAAGCTGAGGTCCCGTACGTTCAACAAGGAAATCATTGGTATAGTTACGATGATGGGAAATCCGTCGGACTGAAAGCACACTACGCCAGGGAGAATGGACTGGCTGGAGTGTTCGTCTGGACCTTGGACTTTGACGACTTTGAAAACGTCTGCAACAAGGGCAAATTTGAGTTGTTGAAGACAATCAAGAATGTTTTGGGATAAAGAACGGTTTTTTTGTGAATATTTATTTGTTTTGTAGCTTTTTGGACCGGAATAAAAGTGATTGCAGTGCAGAAATTTAGGTTTTTTTTTTGCTTTTTTCAATTTGTTTTTTTTTTGACGATTTACACTAACTTTTCTAATCAAAAAAATCTGCACAGTGCAAAACTCTAGGCGTTTTTCAATTATAAAATTGCACTGTGCAAAATTATAGGCTTTTTTCAACTAAAAATTTTCACAGCGCGAAAACGTAGGCTTTTTTCAACTAAAGATTTGCACAGTGCAAAACCCTAGGCTTTTTTCAACTGTAAAGCTGCGCGGTGCGAAACCATGAACTTTTTTCTTTGCACTGTGCAATAGCATAGGCTTTTTTCAACTAAAAATTTGCACAGTGCAAAAGCATAGGCTTTTTATAACTATAAAACTGCATTGTGCGAAAACGTAAGCTTTTTTCAATTATATTTTTGCACAGTGCAAAAGTAAATGCCATTTTTTTATATTAAAACTACTAATTAAGGTGTTGTATTCATCAAATTTGATATTTTAAGGCTTGTCAAGACGCCAGAGTTTGCTTTAGCAAAAAAAAATTTTTTCGAATTGCTAAAAACAGTCAAAAAAGCATTTTTATGGTGTTGCGAAAAAAGTTCTGGGGGTTTTTTCGCCCTTACAAACCAAAATTGGGCAGATAATTTTTACAAACTCTGAATCAGAAAAATTTTGGGATTTTTTTGATATATATCTCGACCTGTAACCCCATACCCCATAGAAGTGTTTTCATTGTAAAAAAAATCCCTCATTTTAGCCTTCAGCCTCTTAAATCACATTTTCAAGCCCATTTTCAACGTGTTCATAAGAATTATTTTGCATAATTCCCCCGAATTTGGGTCTCTCCAATTCTTTTTATTAGTCCACGTATCGCAAACCCCCATTTCCATCGCCCTCTCAATTTTCGAAAAAACGCGCCCCGAGGCCAAAGAATGCACCATAAAAATCAAATTGATGTTTTCGAAACCATTTTTTGTGCGTCGAAAAAAAATTGGAAATGAAAAGAGAAAACGCCGAATTTTTGTCGCGAATATTTTCACATCTCATTTTTTGGGTGTCGAAAAAATGAGAAGCACAAATTTTTGAAAAGAGAAAATGGGTTTTTCGTTTGCAAAAAAGTCGGGAATTTGATGGAAAAGTAATGAGAAATGATACCTGGAAAGGGTTTTGGGTCGTAGTTTGAGCTGAAGGAACGCTGTAAAAATAAAAATTTTGCAGTGCGCAAAATGTGGAGTTTTATAGTTACAAAAAGCCTGTGGCTTTGCACAGTGCGAATTTTTAATTGAAAAAAGCTTATGCTATTGCACGGTGCAGAGAAAAAAGAGTCATGATTTTTCACAGTGCGATTTTTTAGTTCAAAAAAGCCTAGATTTCTGCACAGTGCAGTTTCCCAGTTGAAAAAAGCCTACGGTTTTGCACAGTGCGATTTTTTAGTTGAAAAAAACCTATGTTTTCGCACAGTGCAATTTCGTAGTTGAAAAAAGCCTATGGTTTTGCACAGTGCGAATTTTTAATTGAAAAAAGCTTATGCTATTGCACGGTGCAGAGAAAAATGCGCATGTTTTTGCACTGTGCAATTTCGTAGTTGAAAAAAGCTTATGCTTTTGCACAGTGCAGTTTTCTAGTTGAAAAAAGCCTACATTTTTGCACTGTTTAATTTTTCGAAATTTAATTTTTTCGCTCATGTTTTGAAATTCAAATTTTTTTCATTTCAATTTCTCACTCCTTTCCCATTTCCATCTACCATATTCGCCCTCACAAGATTTGTTTTGTGAAAGCTCGCTGCTTTTGTGAATTTTTGATCTCTTTCACCTTTCTGTTTTCCAATTCCAATATTTCTCCGCAATTTTCGGATGGAAATCCGAGGCGTTGAGTCAGAAAAAAACGCACGCTCTCCACCCCGACTCCATAAAAATTCTCCATTCCCTTTTTTATTATTCCTTCCAAATAAAAAAAAAAAATTTTCTCTCCGCCATTTCAAAGAAAACTCCCTCTTTTCTCTTTTTTTTCTCGAACCTGAAAAACGAAATTTTTCGGGGAGAAAATTTGGGTTAAATTTTTTCAATTTTTTTTGCGGAATTTAGGCTTTTTTCAATTAGAAAACTGCACTGTTTAAAAATCTAGACTACTAAAAATTTGCACAGTGCAAAAATCTAGGTATTTTTGAACTAGAAAACTGCACGGTGCAAAACCATAGGCTTTTTTCAACTAAAAATTTGCACAGTGCAAAAAGAAAAAAACTTTTTGGCCATTCTCTGCCAGTTTCGTGAGGAACAAATTGATTTTTTGTGGAGACATCACTCAAGCTCGGTCGTTTTTGCAAAACGCAAGCTCGAAATTTCACATATGTTATAAAAAATTTTATTCTAAATTTTCGCCAAGTTTCATCAGAATCTGAGCGTGGCACATGGAGTATCAGTTTGTCGGGAAAATAATGTGGATTTGTCGCAGTCTTGTCGCACCAAGCTAGCCGTCGGAGAGCGATTCCAAGGCGCGACAAATCCACATTATTTTCCCGACAGAATCTTAAATCCTCATTATTTTCCAGCCAGACTGATAAAACCCCGTTATTTTCCCAACAAATCGATAATTCCACATTATTTTCCCGAGAAACAAATAAATCCCCATTATTTTCCCGACAGACCAATAAATCCATATTATTTTCCCGACCGTCTGAATAAATCCACATTATTTTCTCGACAGACTGGTAAATCCCCATTATTTTTCCGACAGGCCGGTAAATCCACATTATTTTCCAGACAGACTGAAAAATCCACATTATTTTCCCGACAGGCTGACACTTCCCTGTAGTTTTTTAGATCCCAATATACATTTTTTCGGGCCCCATTTATGTACAATATTTTGCCCTTTTTTATGACTCCCCTCCCAAACAAAGAGTTGTTCGCGGTTTCTCCGTTTTTTTTTTATTTCACCCATTATCCGAAAACATTTATTCGAGTGCGCTTCTCTCGTCATTTTTGGAATTTTCGTGTGCGGAGAAAAGGAGTCATAAAACTCGGGGGGAGATGCAAATTTGATTTGGGGCAAAAACAAAAAGAAATTTTGATTGGTCCTCTCTGCGGGACGTCAAAGATATCTGGCGGAAAGTTACAATTAGACACTACGGGGGTGTCGGGAAAATAACGAGTCGCTGCGCCGATCGCTGAAGTGAAAGCGATTTGATTTTGTCGCTACACAATTCATTTTTTTGTCGATATGATTTTCGGGGGCTAAGGTAGTACAGCCCCCCAGTCCAGTTTAGCCCCCCATGACCCAGTACACCCCCCTCGTCCATTCTGAACCCCAAAATTTATTTCAAAGAATTAAACCAAGTTGTATGGTCCAGCACAAGCCCCCTACGTTTTAGATCAAACCCCCAACGTAGTAGATCGAACCCCCACTTACATTTTTTGTATTATTCTAGTTCATTATGTGGGGTGTGAAACGGGCAAAACAGTGGGGGTTTGAACTACCTTTCGTGGGGGGCTCAACTACCGAAGCCCCGATTTTCGATGCGACAGAGTGCTCATTATTTTCCCGACAGACTGATAAAAAAAAGTGCATTTCGCACTATGCAACTTGTTGTGCTTTGCTGTCACGACTTAGCTATGAGTCGTCGTGTAAGATGGCCCTTAACTTGCCCGCTACTACTAGTATTCACTACCCTCTGATAACCCGGAGACACAAACTAGAGGACTCTGGCAATAAAACTGTGAACTCACGACATTGACTCCAGACGATGTGACCATAAACAAAACAATAGACAAATAGTAAATACAGTAGACTTTATTGGACACAACCGCGGGAAAAGACAAAACACAAATTAATGCTAATAATTGGCGATTTCTCTTCCTTTTATACCAATTTGTCGGTCATTCCGTGGGAATATGCAAATTCGCACTCGAAGTCGTGACATTGCGCCGTGCAATAAGTCTTTTTTGCGTGGTCGCTCTGCCCTGAAAAAAAGGTTATATTAGGACCTGGCGAAGCCGCTGGATGTTAGGCGGACGCCCAGTGAAGGCTCGGCGGAGACTTGGCGAAGGCGAAGCAATATGACTTTTTCTGATATGCAACGTTGGTTTTCTTTACCCTGAGTTACTACCATATAAAATAGAAATAACAAAATTTTCGGCAAGACCCCGCGTTTATGTCTTCGCCGGGCTTAATAGACAAACCATATAGGCCTATATAGGGCACAAAACGGTAGGTTTGCTTTGATGTTTCGCTTCAGATAGATTGAGTAAGGGTTTATTTTTTTATTTTTTTACAATTCAAGTCACCTTTATTCGGCCATTTAAGACCTCTTTTACCTTCTCTGACATCAGTTCAGCCATTTTCTCGCAAAAATTTATGTTGTACTAGACAGAAAGTACAAAATTTTTGAAAATTTTCCCCGATTTCCCCCATAATTTCCTCTCCCACGCCATCCAAATGCTTTCAAAATCCATCTCGCGGCCTTCCAACATACTGTAAGTTTCAAAACCCAGTACTTTTTATCCATTTCCCCTCTTCTTTGAGGGGTTTCCCCTTCGAATCCTCCATTTTTATTTTTCGACGATAAAATTTCCGCCAAACTCCTGCAAAACCCCAAAAGAATTAGTTGGGGATTTCGCAAAAGAAAATTCCCCGAAAATGGGGCGAAATTGGAGCGAAGAAAGTGTTGTTTTTTGAAGGTTTAGTATTATCACGGGTAAAATTGGAGTTTGAGAGTGTAATTGAGGCCTCCAAACGGCGAAATATGTGTGCTGTTTTGGGCCAATACAACTGTTTATGAACATTTTTTGCAAAAATTTTATTTCCGGTCTGTTGGCGACATTTTATACGGAAATAGACATTTTATACGATGAAAGGTGTCTCGGAACTCAAAAAAATTTCAATTTTCTCAGTTGTCGGGAGATGATAACAATGTAAATAGATGATATGCCAATCAGTTGAGCATTTGCAATAAATTTTAATGG